CATTATGGTCCGGTTTCCTCTCGTCTGTTGATCTCTGTGTCTGCTGCAGTGCATTATGGTCCGGTTTTCCTCTCGCCTGTTGATCTCTGTGTCTGCTGCAGTGCATTATGGGTCCGGTTTTCCCCCCGTCTGATGATCTCTGTGTCTGCTGCAGTGCATTATGGTCCGGTTTTCCCCCCGTCTGATGATCTCTGTGTCTGCTGCAGTGCATTATGGTCCGGTTTTCCTCTCGTCTGTTGATCTCTGTGTCTGCTGCAGTGCATTATGATCCGGTTTTCCTCTCGTCTGTTGATCTCTGTGTCTGCTGCAGTGCATTATGGTCCGGTTTCCCCCCGTCTGATGATCTCTGTGTCTGCTGCAGTGCATTATGGTCCGGTTTCCCCCCGTCTGATGATCTCTGTGTCTGCTGCAGTGCATTATGGTCCGGTTTCCCCCCGTCTGATGATCTCTGTGTCTGCTGCAGTGCATTATGGTCCGGTTTTCCTCTCGTCTGTTGATCTCTGTGTCTGCTGCAGTGCATTATGGTCCGGTTTTCCCCCCGTCTGATGATCTCTGTGTCTGCTGCAGTGCATTATGGTCCGGTTTTCCCCCGTCTGATGATCTCTGTGTCTGCTGCAGTGCATTATGGTCCGGTTTTCCTCTCGTCTGATGATCTCTGTGTCTGCTGCAGTGCATTATGGTCCGGTTTCCCCCTCGTCTGATGATCTCTGTGTCTGCTGCAGTGCATTATGGTCAGGTTTTCCTCTCGTCTGATGATCCCTGTGTCTGCTGCAGTGCATTATGGTCCGGTTTTCCCCCCGTCTGATGATCTCTGTGTCTGCTGCAGTGCATTATGGTCCGGTTTTCCTCTCGTCTGATGATCCCTGTGTCTGCTGCAGTGCATTATGGTCCGGTTTTCCCCCCGTCTGATGATCTCTGTGTCTGCTGCAGTGCATTATGGTCCGGTTTTCCTCTCGTCTGATGATCCCTGTGTCTGCTGCAGTGCATTATGGTCCGGTTTTCCCCTCGTCTGATGATCTCTGTGTCTGCTGCAGTGCATTATGGTCCGTTTCCCCCCGTCTGATGATCTCTGTGTCCGCTGCAGTGCATTATGGTCCGGTTTTCCTCTCGTCTGATGATCCCTGTGTCTGCTGCAGTGCATTATGGTCCGGTTTTCCTCTCGTCTGATGATCCCTGTGTCTGCTGCAGTGCATTATGGTCCGGTTTTCCCCTCGTCTGATGATCTCTGTGTCTGCTGCAGTGCATTATGGTCCGGTTGTGACGTGGGCTGCTGATAAATCAATGGTTCGGCTGAGTTTATGGAGTTCACGTCTGTGTGTTCCTTATCAAAGATGTGCAAAGTCTATATATAGTGTGTCTGACTCTGCATTATTCCTGTGTGTGTGTGTGTGTGTGTGTGTGTGTGTGTGTGTGTGTGTGAACACCTGTCCCATTCAACACGCCACACACACACACTGCAGTAATAATGCAGAGTCAGTTTCTCTATTGTGTTAGTGGAATCAAGCCTCCAAAATTATGATGTTTATAATATGTTCAGTCCCCCTGTGGTGTAAATCCAGCGTTTAATGTCGTTTATGTGTGTATGTGGTGTGTTTAATCATGTGTGTGTTGATAAGTGGACAGCATTGCTGAGTATTTCCTCCTTAAAACTGCAGTGAACCAAAGACAGTCTCAAAAACACACTTTCTGACGTCACAAACCACCTTGTAACCAATCAGATCAACGTGTGATCGTCAACCAGTGGATCTCTGAGTGGAGGCGGGGCTCATTTGCATATTCATAGAACCGCGCATACTAAATGAGGCAAGGGTGTCGAGTTGCATTCAAGCGATTTTAAGGCATGAAGACTTTTTTAACAGGTAAAAAACGTTTAAATGTGTAATTTTGTTGATCAAAGATGAGTTTTAAAGGATAACGTTTTTGACTACGATCTTCGTGTCTTAAAGCAACATTTACCGTGTGATAATATAAGTAGATTTTGCGACGATAAACAATCTGTCTTTATGGTATAAATCACTTTACGTGAGTGAATAGTAATAAACTCGACTGTAATATATTTCAACCGAACGTAATTTACATTTCAAGATGATATAAACGATCACACAGACATTTGTTGATCTAACTTAATATAAAAACCTTTGAGATTTGCTTATTTCGCTTTAAATGATTTAGCGCGGGTCTTCTCTCCTCTATTGTGTCGTATATCGAGTGAAACGCTTCAGGAACAAGAACACATGTGGGCGGGGCTTGATTGTGTCTGTGAGGAATTGATTGGATGGTTGTGGTCTGCTATTGGCTGATCTCATGTGAGTGACAGGTTATAGCCCCGCCCACATCATCAGAGAAGAGAAGAGATGCTGCGAGAGGAACTGATTCTGATTTAAGATTACCGGGAACATGAGTTTACAGAAGTACTAGTAATAGTAATCCACTTTGGATCACCAGCGTTTTATTTTAATGATTGTTGTCTCACATCTGTGCAAATGTCTGAATGTTCTCACCGAAGGTGCATGAAATCTCGTCCAGACCAATGAGCGATCTGCACACATCATGCTCACGTTTCACTGCAGAATCATGAGGAGAGACATGAGAAGCTCAAAAATCAAGGCCATATAATGATAACATTGTTTTTTAATAAATTGTTTCCATCACAATTACTTTACAATGTTGCAAACGCCTTCAAACCAAAGCTTGTTTCTTCCATGCAAAACAAACATAAAAAGGTCACTGCCTCTTATATATAGTATGTATGTGTGTATAAATATATGTACTCTATACTTTTCTCCTGACTGCTCTTCTCATTATCTTCATTTCGTTTGAACATGGTACATGATGATGATTTTCTATTTTAATTTTATTAACATTAACGACACTGGCGACGGCAGGAATATTAGGCTACTGTCACTTTAAGACTGAAAGCACGGACCGGATAAACTGACTCGTATCCGCTTTCTCTCTCAACTGTTCACTTATGACAGAACAGAGGGAATACTTGCCGAGACGGGGATTTAGACATCATTTTGTGTGTAAAGTAAACGTGAAAGAGGAATCAATTCAGTGTTTCAGTGCTATCTCTCTCTCTCTCTCTCTCTCTCTCTCTCTCTCAGTCTCTCTCTCAGTATCCTGTTACTTGTTTGTGAACAGGGACATTCTTTTACCATATTTGTAACATGTAGTCGAACGTGACACTCAAGAAACCTCCCCAGTTCAGATATTTCATGTGTTCTAGCTCAAGCACACCTGGAGCCGCTCATGAAGCCCTTGATTAGCAGATCTGTGCTGCTGTGAGGGATTATATTCAGGGATTTTATTCAATTTTTTTAGTTTAATAATTTCTGGAAACCACCTACAATGTGTATATATATATATATATATATATATATATATATATATGAAGAGTTCAGATGCAAAAGCCTCTAAATGCCATTTGAAATTTTCTTCTAGAATGGTCATTTTTATCAAGCTTGTATATTTAAGTTCAGTAATTTCACTTAAATGACAATTAATAGGTAATCTTCATTGCCATTTAAGTGAAATTACTGAACTTAAATATACAAGCGTGATAAAAATTATCATTTTAGAAGAAAATTTCAAATGGCACTTAGAGGCTTTTGCATCTGAACTCTTCATATATATAAATATATAGAATGAGTTTTATTCTAGTATTGTCATTTAGTTTTTTATTGTGATTTTTGTCATTTCTATTAGTTATTGTTTTTTTTAAATATATTTTTATTTCATGTTTTATTTTAGTATATAAAATTAAGCTAAGTAAAAAAGAGAAATTTTGCTTTAGCGCCACGGCTAGCTTTAATAAGTTTTTATGTTTTATTTTTTATTCCAGTTAACATTTATTTTATTTGGAGGAACATTTTTTTAAGGTTTTAGTTTAATCTAGTAACGCTGGCAGATGTGAGGTTTTTGCATCAGTTATTTCATATTCATATTGTCACAACAATTGACATGAAAAAATCATCCGCATGGTCTCTTCAGGACGGCATGATTTGCCTACATTGAAATCGGCATTGTGTGTGTGTGTGTGTGTGTGTGTCATGCTGTTCTTTGCTGCTTCTGTCCTGAAATGACTTTCCTGTGTCTCTCGCATGTCTCTTGCCCGTCTCTCTCTCGCCCATCTCTCTGTCTCTCCCCCGTCTCTCTCTCTCTCGCCCATCTCTCTCTCTCTCTCTCAGCATTGCTGCATTGATTGTGTTCAGCATGCAAACACGGCGCTGTTGAGTCCAGCTAGAGCAGCTTTATCTCTCACACAGAACGCTCTTGAAGGACTGACATACACACTTTGTTAGTTGTTGCTGTGGAGTGTGTGTGTGTGTGTCTATCAGCTGTTGTTGAGGCCATTGAGAGCTTTTCCACTGCTGTCGGTCACTCGTGTGTTTTTGTTCGGCAGATAAGAGTCTTGAGCAGGACTTTTATTTTGACACGCTGAGATCCTCATCAGTGTTTTCATTGGTTTATTCTGATAATAGAAATGCAAGTGCAATAATAATAGTAATAATGTTCTCATATCTCATTCCGCTAATATTCATTTATATAATTATTGAACTGTACAAACCTTGCAAACTTCCCTGTTATATTCACTGTATTCTGTGTTTAATGCTAGCCTAAGCTCGGCTCTTTTTTCTTTACAAAAGTATGATTCCCAATCCCAGCACAGACGTTTTAGTTTTTATTTCCCGTTTTCATTCTAGTTTGACTTGAAGTAGTAAAAGTAAAAACTATGCATTATATTAAAACTATACAGACAAAAAAATTAAAAAGTTGAAACTAAATGAAAATGAGAAATATGGGCTTTGGGAGCTAGTTTTAAAATATTAATAAACTTTCATTATTTCAGTAAATGTTTCAGAATATTTGTGTTTTGATGTGGACGAGTAACTGATGTGTTTCTTGTGTGTGTGCCCCTCTCTATAATAATGTTAATGTGTGTGTATGTATATATGGCTGTGTAACCGTGTTTCTCCTGTGTGTGTGTGTGCGCACAGATGCCCCTCTCCCCGGCCCGGTGGACGGTGTGACCCGCGGGCCGTCATCCTCATCCTCATCCTCCTCCTCCTCCTCATCATGTCCCAGATGCTCCACATGGAGATCCCGAACTTCGGGAACATGGTCCTGGGCTGCCTGAACGAGCAGCGTCTGCAGGGCCAGTACTGCGACGTGTCCATCGTGGTGAAGAACCAGGCGTTCAAGGCCCACCGCGCGGTTCTGGCGGCCAGCAGCCTGTACTTCCGGGACCTGTTCAGCGCCAGCACCAAAGCCCAGTTCGAGCTGCCGTCCTCGGTCACGCCGGGCTGCTTCCAGCAGATCCTGGGCTTCTGCTACACCGGGAAGCTGAGCATGGCGGCCGGCGAACAGCTGGTTCTGATGTACACGGCCGGATATCTGCAGATCCAGCACATCGTGGAGCGCGGGATGGACCTGATGTTCAAGGCCAGCTCTCCTCACTGCGACTCGGCCTCGGCGTCCATCGACGAGCCGCACTCGGGGCCGCAGAGCCCGAACGCCGCCGCGCTGGTGCCGACCCGCAGGATCAAGCTGGAGGAGCCGCGGCGAGCGGGGCGCGTGTGTGTCGGGGAGCGGGCCAGTCCCGGGGCCTCCAGCATCCCCACCACCGACAGCCCCACCTCGTACCAGAACGAGGACGAGGAGTTCGAGGAAGAGGCCTTCGACACCGAGGAGAGCTACAGCCATCAGTGCGGACGCGCCGCTAACGCTTACGGGGGTAATCCCTCTCTCTCTCTCTCTTATATCAGTTAAACGTGTTTGTTATTAACCCCGTTTAACGGCGTCAATTTTTTTGGACGTTTGGACGTTTTGTTGTTTCGCCGACCAAAGCGCGAGTGATCTAGCTAGACCGGAAACAAAACAATAGGCACGACGCCACACACACTCCTTTGGGTTTGCGAGCCGACCAAATAGTTGGTAAACGTTACGTTTTGAGTGGATGACGAGTGTGAGACACCGAATTGGATGCCAATAAGATTCTGAATGGAAGAAATGGTTCTATTTAGAACCAGAAATGGTTCCATCCCCCGCTTCATATATGGAACTCCAAAATGGTTCTATTTAGAACCAGAAATGGTTCCATCCCCCGCTTCATATATGGAACTCCAAAATGGTTCTATTTAGAACCAGAAATGGTTCCATCCCCCGCTTCATATATGGAACTCCAAAATGGTTCTATATAGAACCGTTTTTTTTTTTTTTTGGTAAAAGGTTCTATTGGCCCAGGGTTCTATATAGAACCCAGAGGAACCCTTTTTTTAAGAGTGTCTAGAACCTTTTAGGGGTTCCAAATATGTAGCGCTGATAGAACCTTTTAAGGTTCTATATAGAACCTTTTCTTCTAAGAGTGTACTTTTAAAAAGTTGTCAAATGGTTCAATGGACTAGACCAAAGTGATCTGTGTGTTCTGTCGTTGTGAACTGAGCTATCATCATCATCATCGCAGCACGTCCAGTCTGAAATACCGCTTGATGGTGGCCAAGCACACACACACACACACACACACACACACACACAGCTGATGCGAATTCTCCGCCCCCTCGTCAATATCAGGACCTCGTCAGTATTTCTTTCACTTTTATTGATGGACAGTGTTACATTGTGTGAGAGATTATTTGCTCCAAGTGAGAATGTTAGTGTGAATTTGAACACATAATAAAAAAACGTTTGCACACAGCAAGCCGATCCACTTTTCCATGTTGATAAGAGCATTAAAATGAGGGGAAAAAATAATGGGACAAAAAGAAATCAAAAGACATTTACAATAGATGAAAATGTTTATTAAATGCGATTAATCGCGAGTTAACTATGACATTAATGCGATTTAATCACAATTTAATATTAATCGTTTGACAGCACTAATTATAAAAATAATTATTCATTAATAATTCATTAATAAAAAATAATTGATAATAATACACTAATATATATATATACACACACACTCCTTCAGAATCCCAGTCTCTCTCTGTCTCTCTCTCTCTCTTTCTGATGCTCTGAAGGGAAGTTTAATATTTGTCTGATTTTTATATTATTCAAAATAATAATAATTATGGTAATAATGATAAATACAACTATTTAAAATTCTTTATTATTTATATATATATATACTCTTCTCTTATGTTTTGATTTGATTAAAAATACCAAATTGATTTTTAATACCAAATTGATTTAAAAATAATAATAATGTTTTTGAACGGCAGTTCATGTTTGGGCATGTAAGATTTTTCATTTTAATAAATTAGTATTTTTATACATCAAGGATGCATTCATCATGGCGACAGTAATATATTTATAATGTTCCAAAATATCATATTTATATATTTCAAACAAACACTGTTCTTTTCATTAAATTTTTACTCATCAAAATATGAGTCTTTTCAAAATTTAACATTGTTAAAATTGTTAATAATCATTATGTTTCTTGATCATCAGATCCTCATATTAGAGTTTATTTATTTATTTATTTGATAGGGACAATGCACATTAATGAACTTCTGAATTGAGACAACAAAACAGACGCTGTTAAACACATTACAGACTTTGTGTCAGTGTGTGAAGTCGGGTAAGATGAGCCAGAGCCAAAAGTGAAACTGACACACATGATTATATATTTGGGTGGCGTGGTTAAGCAACAGAGAGAGTCTCGACCCCCCCCGAGCTCATGGGCGATCAAACAGCGAACGAGAGAGTTAACGCTGTCGAAGCGGCTGTTATGAGAGATAACACACACACACACACTCACACTCACACAAACAACACACTGACGTCTGTTGAACTGTGAAACTGCTAAACATAACCTGATGTTTCTGTGCAGAACGTCTTTCGGTGAATCATCGCTGTATTAGAGGATCATTCAACACAATTAGACATTATTAAAGGAGTAGTTCACTTTAAAAAAACTTTTGCTGATAATTTACTCGCCCCCATGTCATCTAAGATGTCCATGTCTTTCTTTCTTCAGTCGAAAAGAAATTAAGGTTTTTGATGAAAACATTCCAGGATTTTCTCCATATAATGGACTTCAATGGGGTCCAAACGGTTCAAGGTCCAAAAGATAATTTCAGTGCAAACTGTTCAAAGGGCTTTAAACGACACCAGACGACAAATAAGGGTCTTATCTAGCGAAACGATCACTCATTTAATAAATAAATAAGTTTTATAAGCTCAAATGCTCGCCTTGCTCTGTTCTGTGATGCGCGTTTGTGACTCTCCTGTTCATCAAAATGAACAAATCTTTTTCCGAGAATCATTTGGTTGATTCAACGAACGAAATGAACGAATTGACTAGGGAAAAGATTTGTTATATCAAGTAACAACATGTACTTACTAAAGTGTTTGGGTTACACTTTTTAGGTGTCATTGATACAGTGTAATTATATATAGTATGAAGTATCTGCGTGTGCTTACTCTAGGGTTAGGGTTTGGCTGAGGGTTAGTTGCATGTAATTATGCATAATTTGCTGTTATTACTATGGTAAGTGCTTGCAACAAAAACACTATTATTAGAAACCCTTTATTTTACAATGTCTAAATAAGCCAGTTACTTGAATGTTTTGCTAGTTTGATGACTGCATATGAAGTAAGACGCCGGTCTTTAGTCTGCTGTGTGTTCTCAGTTTGATTTGTCTTGTGTTTTGTCAGATGACCGTTTATTCGGATCCGCTTCATTGTTGTGTAGAAATCTCCCATCATGCATCTCTAGTCCCGCACTCGGGTGTCAGAGATTGTGAAATGCACTCTGTCTGTAATCAGTCACCCTCGAGAGGGTCACATTGTGGGTTATTTGAGAGTGTGTGATGGGTAGGGTTAGTGTAAGGTGACAGAATATACAGTTTGTACAGTGTAAAAACCATTACATCTATGGAGTCCTCACAACGATAGTTAACCAGTGTGTGTGTGTGTGTGTGTGTGTGTGTGTGTGTGTGTGTGCCGGTGGAGAGCTTTATTGAGTTTCTGCAATCGGATGCGTCTCGAAAGCAGATGGCGGATCTTTCCCTGAATAAAGTGACTGTAAAAACATTTGTTAACACTTTTAGGTCTCCTTCCTTTGTGTTAAACTTCTGTTTAGTTGCTGCCTTAAATGATTCACATTGAGTCTTTTTTTCTCAACGTCATTTTAACAGATTTTTATCTTATCTTGTGCACTATTGGTCAAAAGTTTGAAATAATTGAATTTTTATAATGTTTTTGAAAGAGTTTCTTCTGCTCACCAAGGCTGTGTTTATTTGATCAAAAATACAGTAAAACTGTCAAATAATATTGCAATTTAAAAGATGTTTTTGTCTGAGATCAGCAGTGCCGCAGCGCTCCAGTGTTCCTCATCTCTCAGAGACGGCTTGGGTCTGATCGCTCCTGTCACTCTTCCTCTGCAGTGTCGGAGCGGCCGGAGTTGGTGATGCCCGTGTCTCTGGAGAACCGCTCCTGTGTGCTGATCCGCCGGGATCTGGTGGCGCTGCCGGCCAGTCTCATCAGTCAGATCGGTTACCGCTGTCATCCCAAACTATACACCGAGGGAGACCCCGGAGAGAAGCTGGAGCTAGTGGGAGGTTCGTCAAATCACTCATTCCCTAATGTTGGCGTTACAAGTACTGAGCATTACGCAAACATATTACTTTTTAATGTAACAAATAAAGTAACGCATTACGCAATCATATTACTTTTTAATGTAACAAATAAAGTAACGCATTACGCAATCATATTACTTTTTAATGTAACAAATAAAGTAACGCATTACGCAAACATATTACTTTTTAATGTAACAAATAAAGTAACGCATTACGCAAACATATTACTTTTTAATGTAACAAATAAAGTAACGCATTACACAAACATATTACTTTTAATGTAACAAATAAAGTAACGCATTACGTAATCATATTACTTTTTAATGTTACAAATAAAGTAACGCATTACGTAATCATATTACTTTTTAATGTAACAAATAAAGTAACGCATTACGCAAACATATTACTTTTTAATGTTACAAATAAAGTAACACATTACACAAACATATTACTTTTAATGTAACAAATAAAGTAACGCATTACGTAATCATATTACTTTTTAATGTAACAAATAAAGTAACGCATTATGCAAACATATTAATTTTAATGTAACAAATAAAGTAACGCATTACATAATCATATTACTTTTTAATGTAACAAATAAAGTAACACATTATGCAAACATATTACTTTTAATGTAACAAATAAAGTAACGCATTACGCAAACGTATTACTTTTTAATGTAACAAATAAAGTAACGCATTACATAATCATATTACTTTTTAATGTAACAAATAAAGTAACGCATTACGCAAACATATTACTTTTTAATGTAACAAATAAAGTAACGCATTACGTAATCATATTACTTTTTAATGTAACAAATAAAGTAACGCATTACACAATCATATCACTTTTTAATGTAACAAATAAAGTAACGCATTACGCAAACATATTACTTTTAATGTAACAAATAAAGTAACGCATTACGTAATCATATTACTTTTTAATGTAACAAATAAAGTAACGCATTACGTAAACATATTACTTTTTAATGTTACAAATAAAGTAACGCATTACGTAATCATATTACTTTTTAATGTAACAAATAAAGTAACGCATTACGTAATCATATTACTTTTTAATGTAACAAATAAAGTAACGCATTACGTAATCATATTACTTTTTCATGTAACAAATAAAGTAACGCATTACGTAATCATATTACTTTTTAATGTAACAAATAAAGTAACGCATTACGTAATCATATTACTTTTTCATGCAACAAATAAAGTAACGCATTACGTAATCATATTACTTTTTAATGTTACAAATAAAGTAACGCATTATGCAAACATATTACTTTTAATGTAACAAATAAAGTAACGCATTACGTAATCATATTACTTTTTAATGTAACAAATAAAGTAACGCATTACGTAATCATATTACTTTTAATGTTACAAATAAAGTAACGCATTACGTAATCATATTACTTTTTAATGTAACAAATAAAGTAACGCATTACGTAATCATATTACTTTTTAATGTTACAAATAAAGTAACGCATTACGTAATCATATTACTTTTTAATGTTACAAATAAATAACGCATTATGCAAATATATTACTTTTAATGTAACAAATAAGTAACGCATTACATAATCATATTACTTTTTAATGTTACAAATAAAGTAACGCATTACGTAATCATATTACTTTTTAATGTAACAAATAAAGTAACGCATTACGTAATCATATTACTTTTTAATGTAACAAATAAAGTAACGCATTACGTAATCATATTACTTTTTAATGTTACAAATAAAATAACGCATTATGCAAATATATTACTTTTAATGTAACAAATAAGTAACGCATTACATAATCATATTACTTTTTAATGTTACAAATAAAGTAACGCATTACGTAATCATATTACTTTTTAATGTTACAAATAAAGTAACGCATTATGCAAATATATTACTTTTAATGTAACAAATAAAGTAACGCATTACATAATCATATTACTTTTTAATGTAACAAATAAAGTAACGCAGTAATCATATTACTTTTTAATGCAACAAATAAAGTAACACATTACGTAATCATATTACTTTTTAATGTAACAAATAAAGTAACGCATTACGCGAACATATTACTTTTTAAAGGGCACCTATTATGCCCCTTTTTACAAGATGTAATATTGGTCTCTGGTGTCCCTAGAATGTATTTGTGAAGTTTCAGCTCAAAATACCCCACAGTTAATTTATTATAACCATTTGAAAATGTCATTTTGGGGCCTGCTTAAAAATGACCTGTTTCGGAGGTATATGGCTTTAAATGCAAATGAGCTGCATATCCCCGCCCTGCCTTTGGATGAGGGCGTAACTTGATACCTATGGCAGTCGGTAAGCAGAAGGGCTAACAGAGTGAGAGACGCGCTGTTTTGAATGTCATTCAGCCGTACGTTTGAATCGAAATATAAAAAATTGCACGAAGAGACTCCGGCAGAATAAACACAAATGAGAATGGACCAGTACGTCTCGGTATAGTTATTTGATACATTTATGTACTTTAGCGTTGTAATCGTGTTCCCTTTGAAATGATGGGCATGTGCAACACACACACACAGACACATTAAACACTAATGCTGGCGCATTTTTTTTGAAATTACATACACATACTGTGATAAAGTTTGCTACGTAAAAGCGAAATTACATTTATGCGAGGGACTGGGACCTGTGGCGTCATGTTTACTTGTCATACGGGTGCTTATGTGGCAAATGTGAGGAGATGGCTAACATACAGAACAACAACATATATGCAGTTTTTAATACAATATCTTTAAATATATATAAACGTGTGGTTACACACTATACAAACAAGGTTTAAATTATATAGCCTACACAGACATCCTACGACGACAACAACTTTAGACGCATTTGTTGTTGAATTGGCTGACATTGACTGAAAAGACTATTTGCTCAAAAATCATAAAACACACTTACTGTTACTGGATGTGACGGTGGATCGCAAACAGTAGATGAGGATTCCACAGTTGAGGATTAACTTTTAAGCTACAACAACAGGATTAACCCACGAGTCCACGACAGAACACTTATGTTTCCAAGAGACATAACAGGTAATGGAGGATGATGATGTGTACACTGTACAGATCACCGAGGGCGGGGTCTAGGCCACAGCCACACTGTCAATCAACCCCCTGTCTCCCGTTCTACGTCACAAAGAGCTGAATCTCAGAACAGCTCGTTCTGAGGCAGTGCATATGATTTATTGAGATTGTAAAAAAACCACTGGGTGGATTTTTATCATTCTAGGGTGGTTTTGCTCACTCACTGCCAACACACATTTATGTTCAAACACCATGTAAAAGTGAATTTTCCATAATAGGTGCCCTTTAATGTAACAAATAAAGTAACACATTACACAAACATATTACTTTTAATGTAACAAATAAAGTAACGCATTACGTAATCATATTACTTTTTAATGTTACAAATAAAGTAACGCATTACACAAACATATTACTTTTAATGTAACAAATAAAGTAACGCATTACGTAATCATATTACTTTTTAATGTAACAAATAAAGTAACGCATTACGTAATCATATTACTTTTTAATGCAACAAATAAATTAACACATTACATAATCATATTACTTTTTAATGTAACAAATAAAGTAACGCATTACGTAATCATATTACTTTTTAATGTAACAAATAAATTAACACATTACGTAATCATATTACTTTTTATTGTAACAAATAAAGTAACGCATTACGTATCACTTTTTAATGTAATAAATAAATTAACGCATTATACGCAAACATTACTTTTTAATGTGACAAATAAAGCAATGCATTATGCAAACATATCACTTTTAAATGTAACAAATAAATTAACGCATTACACAAATATATTATTTTTAATGTAACAAATAAAGTAACGCATTACGCAAACATATCACTTTAAATGTAACAAATAAAGTAACGCATTACGCAATCATATTACTTTTTAATGTAACAAATAAAGTAACGCATTACGCAAACATATTACTTTTTAATGTAACAAATAAAGTAACGCATTACGCAAACATATCACTTTAAATGTAACAAATAAAGTAACGCATTACGCAAACATATCACTTTTAATGTAACAAATAAAGTAACGCATTACGCAAACATATCACTTTTATTGTAACAAATAAATTAACGCATTACACAAATATATTATTTTTAATGTAACAAATAAAGTAACGCATTACGCAAACATATCACTTTAAATGTAACAAATAAAGTAACGCATTACGTAATCATATTACTTTTTAATGTAACAAATAAAGTAACGCATTACGCAAACATATCACTTTTAATGTAACAAATAAAGTAACGCATTACACAAACATATTACTTTTTAATGTAACAAATAAAGTAACGCATTACACAAACATATTACTTTTTAATGTAACAAATAAAGTAACGCATTACATAATCATATTACTTTTTAATGTAACAAATAAAGTAACGCATTACATAATCATATTACTTTTTAATGTAACAAATAAAGTAACGCATTACAAGTACTGTGCATTACGCAATCCTGTTACTTTTTTGATGTAACAAGTAAAGTAACACATTACTTTATAAATAAAAAGAAATGTGTTTACTCTAAACCGTAAACAGAGTTTGCGCTCGCAACGCAAAGGTCATGGGTTCGATTCCCAGGGAAAGCAAGAACTGATGTAAATGAAAATGTGTGCCTTGAAATGCAATGTAAGTCACTTTGACAAAATGCATACATGTAAATTGCTCGTAATGTTCATAAATGAATGCAAAGTAATGCAATAAAATACATTTTTAAAGTAGAAAGACTGAAATAGTATTTTCTTGTAAAACATACTCAATTAACAAGAAAACTTGTAATTCAAAACAATTGTCTGAATGTAATAGGCAAACTATAGTGATATCTGTTAGCTCACTGGTGTTCCTGATGTTGTGTGTGTGTGTGTTCAGGCACGAGTGTGTTCATGACGAGAGGTCAGCTGATGAACTGCCATCTGTGCGCCGGCGTCAAACACAAGGTGTTGCTGCGGAGGCTCCTCGCCACCTTCTTCGACAGGTTTGTGATCAATAATAATAATAATCAATAGTGATGTTTGAAGGGGCGTGTCTGCTCGAGACTCACTGCTGTGATTGGCTTACATCTTTGCATATGAAATGAGCAATACATGTGGAACCCTCTTGAAAACATTTACTGTTCTTACTATTACAGCCGCTGAGATGAACTAATCGTGTCTCGAGTATAGCAATATATTTAGATCTACAAGTGAACTTACGGGATGTTTTCATTCTACAGTGACCTCTGATACGTCAAAAGATCATGGATAATTGACTGCTTAACTCAAGACTTCAATAAATAAAACACACTGGGAAAAAACTAGAAACGTTCACACTCAGAAATCGCCAGTAAATTTCACAAACAATTACTAAAGAAACGTATTGCATTAAGCGTGAAATTTTAAAGTGGAAAGACTGAAAATACAACTCTTACAGTGAATATATAATGAGATTAGTTTTCAATTAAAATATTTTGCATCCTAAAGTAAGAGCACTTCAAATCTCTTCCCTTATTTAGTGTTGCTGCAATATTTAATAACACTTTACAATAAGCATTAACTAACAAGGAGCAAAACATTTCTTAAAGTAGTATATTCATCTTTGTTAACATTAGGTGATAAAAATATGATGTTCATTGTTTGTTCATGTTAACTCAGGTCCATTAAATCATATTAACGACACAACTTTTGATTTTAACATTAGTAAATGTTGGAAATTAAGATTAATAAATGCTTAAAGTCCTCATGTAGTAAATAATTGAAAAAAATGTCTTCATTCCTTAAAATATTTTGAATGTAACTCGACACCGTCGCCTCATTTAGTATGCCTGGTTTTATGAATATGCAAATGAGCCCCGCCTCCACTCACTGCAGTTTTAAGGAGGAAATGAAATGAATTTACACATGGTTTGTCTTAAAGCAGATTAATAACACCACATAGACACATAAACAACATTAAAAATTAGATTTTTACCACAACGGGACTTTTAAAGTATAAGTGGAACCTTATTATAAAGTGTAACCAACTTTTTTATGTAAAGACAGACAGAGTTGTAGTTTACTCAGTAAACCATGAAAGCTGATTGATCTGAAGTGCAGTTATTGAGATATTGAGTGTTTCCTCATTGCTCTGTGCTTGTTGATCCCGCAGAAACACGTTAGCGAACAGCTGTGGGACGGGCATCCGGTCTTCAACCAGCGACCCCAGCCGGAAACCACTGGACAGTCGGGTCCTAAACGCCGTCAAACGTGCGTTACTCTCCTTATGCATTCATTTTTAAGACTAGGAGAAGATCTTGTGCTGGTGTTAGTCTTGTGAGGAAACCTGTTGTATTTCACTCCTAGAAAACTCAATGTTCATCAGGGACGCTTTGTTGTATTTAAAGGGTCCTTTAAAATAATGCCTTTAAAATAAGTCTCTGACGTCCCCAGAGTGTGTGTGTGAAGTTTTAGCTCAAAATTCCCCATAGATGTATATATATAGCATGTTAAAATGGTCACTTTTTGAGGGCGAGCAAAAACACACTGTTTTTTGTGTGTGTCCCTTTAAATGCAAATGAGCTGCTGCTCCCGGCCCAGGGGGCGGAGCTACAAGAGCTGAGTGAGTGAGTGACTGAGTGAGTGACAGGAAATTTCTGAATGGTTAGTTGATGACTATCTAGGCGAACTATCTTCTAGTCACTGGGGCGGGGTTTATGTAAATGTAAGGTTAGTGATGTCACTAACCTGTGAAGAAGCTCATTATAGTCCCTACCAGCCGTTTGCAGTCGATTTCGATTCTATATTTGCAGATTATGATCAAACATCAACATTACACACTAACGACGGTTAAAAAGGTGCAATCATAATCAACCGGCCCTTTAAATCTCCTAATAACGTTGTGTGTTTTCTCCAGTTTACTGTCAGAACTTCGCGCCCAACTTCAAGGAGAGCGAGATGAACGTGATCGCGGCAGATATGTGCACCAACGCTCGCCGCGTACGCAAGCGCTGGCTTCCCAAGATCCAGTCCATGTTGCCGGACGGGATGGAGGTGTACCAGGGCTCGGTCGCGGGCGTGAATATGGGCGTTCAGATGCCCTTCGAGAACCTGCTTCCCGCGGGCCTGAATCTGGAGCCGCGGCTCGAGCGCAAACGGCCCGCCAGAACTGTGTTAACGCTGGATGGAGACGACGTGGATATTCCCGGAGAGGAGGACGAGGACGAAGAAGAAGAAGCTCAGAATGACAGCGCCGATGGGACAATGGGGGCGGGGCCTGTCAGGGTTGGGGGCGGGGCATTTGTGGTCACGCCCCCCGATGAGCACGAGGAGGAGGCGGAGTTTGTAGACGGCCTGAGAATAAACGGACAATGAGTTCCTTTAGCACTGCAAAAAATAGTCTTGTTTCTAGTCCGAATATCTAAAAATTCTTAAATCAAGCTGCATTTAGCCTACTAGATGAGTAAAATGCTTGTTTTTTGGGGATATAAATCAAAATTAAGTGAGTTTTGGCTTAAAACGAGGTAATTTATCTGGCAGTGGGGTTAGAAAAATAATGTTTCTGTTTAAATTAAGATTATTAAAGCAGTAAACCGCTTGAAGCCGTGAGTTTAGAACAGCTAAGCGGAGGAAAAACACACCATTATTAAACGGTTACTCCATGAAAATATTCATATTCATAAAATAAACACCAGCAACAAAAAATATAACGTTATTATAACACATTATTCCCGTAGTTTAATTCAAAGCATCACAAACGGCAGTTGTTGAGTAATTCACAACGGCTTAACCAATCGGAATCAAGGATCGGAAATCCTTTTTGTAATATCAACAAATCGCTTAATTTTGAAAACAAGACATTACACGTGTAGTAAATGCATCTTGATTTAAGTATTTTTAGATATTTGAACTGGAAACAAGACAAAAAATACTAAAAGTAAGAAAAGTATATTTTTGCAGCGTGACCACCTTTCAGTTCTTATCCACCGTGTGAATACATGCTGAAGGGAAGAGTGTGTGTATTCAGACAGCCAAACACACACAGGCATCTGTAGAAAACACTTTCTGGAAACTATTTCAAGTTGAAATCATCCGGACGGTGGCGTTTCCCCGGACCGCAGAAGTCACGGTCGCCGCGATCGATAACCTCCGCGAGGAACGTTATATTACGGTCTTCAGATCACTTTGCCATGATAAATATCGCTAAAGCAGGAGCGGATCCCGTTACACCCCAAAATCAAGAGGAAAAGAAAATGAAGTGAAAATGAAAATGAGTGGAAATCCTTCACGTAAACAAACACGTGACACGTTTATGGTTCATATAATCATAAATCTCTGGACTCGTTCCAGTGCATGTAAACAAACCCATTATTTATGACAATTAAGCCCCATTATAGTATTATTAATCTAATATACAGGTCAAAAAAATGTGAATAAACACATAAATGTTTAGAAATAAATTGTATTTTTTACAATATATACAGTAGTGGCCAAAAAGTGATGACCCTGCATGGATTAAACCATCAAAATATGAGGGAAATATTGTATATATTTTAAATATGAGGGAATAACAAAACACTAAACACTTGGTTGAGGTATTAAACTAACAATATTAGGGGGAAAAAGTGTGACCGGTTCTACAGGTGAAACTCGGAAAAATTAGAATATGGTGCAAAAGTTCGTAAAAGATGAAACTAATATATTATACAGACTCATTACATGCAAAGTGAGATATTTCAAGCCTTTATTTGTTATAATTGTGATGTTTATGGCTTTCAGATATGAAAACCTTTTCACAATATTCTAATTTTGACTTTGGGGTTTTCATATCTGTATTCCATAATCATCACAATAATCACAAATAAAGGCTTGAAATATCTCACTTTGCATGTAATGAGTCTATATAATATATTAGTTTCACCTTTTAAGTTGAATTTCTGAACTTTTGCACAATATTCTAATTTTTTGAGTTTCACCTGTATATCACTATGCAAAAAAATATGCAAATATAGATTGATTACAACATAATGAGTTATTAATAATATTTGATTTGTGGCTGCATGTGTTCTTTGTATGACAGCATGGCCAAACATTATGATGCACAATTCGTCATCTTTCACTGAGTTCCTGTTACAAATAAAACACACAATTTTTAATAAAACTTGAATAAAAGGTGAAGATGTCAGTTTTCCAAGACTGGACATCACTTTTGAGCACTACTGTACAATGCAAACATAATTATTTTCATATTTATTGTATTTTTAGGATTTATTTTGCATTCTGATAATGAGAATCCGATTTAATTTTCATTGGATGGTGTTCTTGGATTGGTCTAGGGTGTGTTTGGTGTCCGTGCGCTTCAGATTCCTGTGTGTGTTTGACCGTCTGATCACTCACCAACGGATGAATGTGCGCTCGCCTCCTCCACCGCTTGCATGCATGCCAAATCTGATCCAGCCTGGATATAACCTGCACGGCCGGCTCTCCACGGATGCTGGAGCGATCCGAGAGCGGCTGAAGTCTGAATAGAACGAGCCCTTCATCCAAATACAAATGTCCGTGATCTTTGGCCTTAAGAGACTCAGAATGTGTGTGTCGACGGTTCTGCAGGAGCAAAGTTGGAAAGCACTTGATTTTTTGTGTGTTTTACACTAGTGGTCAAAAGTTTGGAATATAATTTGGAAAGTTTTATGTTTTTGAAAGAGTGTCTTCTAGCTCACCAAGGCTTTTTATTTTTATTATTATTACAATTTAAATCATCTGTTTTCTATGTGAATATACAGTAAATGTATTCCTGTGATCAAAGCATCATTACTCCAGTCTTCAGTGTCACATGACCCTTCAGAAATCATTAATATAATTTTTTTTAACAATTTATTGACTCCTTTAAATAATGCTAGTGTATCACCGTTTCCGCAAAAAAAACAACGAATATTGATAAAAAATATTTCTTCTTTAACAAAATCCAGACTTTTGACCGGTAGTGTAACCTCTTAAACATTTAATGATGCAAAAAAAAGTAATATTCAGTCTTTATCAGGCGTTTAATGCTGTAGTCGTCAGAATCTCCAGGTGTGTCGAGATCCATCTTCAGTGAGATCTGGGTTCTATTTGATTCGATCTGGTTTATTTGTTGTTAAAGTGCCTCGTCAGTGCTGTTGATTGACAGCTGTCATGATTCTAATCAACATCATCACTCTCTTCTGCTGTTTTATCATCAGTGGCCCGAGCATCAAGACGCTGACTCATATCTCACAGAGAGACGGAAGAACTTGTGCCTTATTGTGACCATTGACACCATCTAAATTCAGCACGGTGTCGGCCCGCATTCGGCCCACATCCGGGACATGTGGATGTTATCTGGTACCGACACTATGGTGCTGTCTGGGGTTTATTTACAATAATGATCAAACCTTATAATGCAAAAAAAAAGTCAGCTGTGTTGTTTTAATAACCTGAAGATTCTGAGCAGAACCGCCTGATGGGTCGCTGAAGATGCTGTTAGATTTCATGTGTATGTAGTTTGTGACTTTTTAGAGCGATCGCAATACATTTCTAAAGGTGTAGAGTCACTAAAATGTGCTGGAACTAATATATGATCACTATAAGGCCAGTTCTTACACTAGTGTTGTCAAGCACGCATGTGAATGACGGATTCTTCAGGAATCAAACGCGCTACTACAGGGCCATTGGGACAAAACATTAAAATAATATAGTTAGAATACCAGTTGTGTTTGTACAGAAAAACTAACGAAATGGATGAAACCGGAAGCCATTATTTACCCAGAAACCCCTGCGAAAAGAAAAAGACGTGTGTCTATATATGCCAACCTTTTACGTAGATTATTTTATTTTTAAAGCCTAGTATGTGGCTCTAAATTCATGCAAAATGTTGCACTAGATGAAGTGGATATATATGGGAGAATGTCCTCCGCCAGCCTGTTGTTGTTGAATGAATGTATCGTGTGCTAATTTATCGATTTCTGTGAGCTCGAGCTTTTCCCTGATATCAGCACTAATAATGTCTAATGGAAAGCTTTTGCACACACAGATGTGAGGTTTAGTTTGTCTGTGAGAAAGAGAGACGAGTGTTTGAGTCTGAGCAGCTCCACGTTATTATGAATATGAAATGCAAACTCTGTTAATCTGAACATGTTAGACAGAGATCAGTCTATAATTTCATGTGTATCGTTTGGTGTTTGTTTGGCTGCTGCCCGAGGACAGATATCACGGAAACGGCCTTTGAATGTAGTAAAAACGTACGTACACACTATGGCCCGTTCACACCAACTAGATAACGATAAAGATAGTGCTAAAAATCGATCTAAATAAAGATATAGTGCTAAAAATCGATCGATCTAAATAAAGATGGTGCTAAAAATCGATCTAAATGTATAAATAATAATAATAATGAGATAATTAGACAGAGAAATGTCACTGACTGGAATCGCTTCAAAAGATTTTTTTTTTCTTCCAAACATTGACAGCCAATCAGAATCCAGCCTGCTCTAAAGCGCGCGAGCATTTAAAGAGACAGACGCGCATAATAAACAACGATATCGTGCGTTAATGTATAGTTATCGTTATTGGTGTGAATGGGCCTTAAAGAAAACGAGGCAGGGTCATTCTTGCATTGTTGAAAATAAATTATATATATATATATATATATATATATATATATATATATATATTGTCCTTTCACTGTGAGAAATTGTCTGTCAATCATAAAAACTAGTCAAGCTCAGGCTAGTGTCGCCCAATGACTGTTCACCCTGTTACATGACATTTTAACAGTGCAACAGGGCGGATGTTTTAAGCTCATAAAGCACATTATAGCTAGGAAAAAACATGCTAGCAGAAGATTTACATTAGGAATTTTAATAGCTGTATAAAATAAAAAAAAAAAAAATTTAAACAAGCAAACATTTTTATATCCGGTATAAATGGATACACTATTAGATAAGATCTTCTAAAAAAAAAAATTAGGGAAAGAGAGATAAGTTTATGACTGATATTCTTACTTTATTCCTGGTAAATAATATTCAAAATTGCTCATTTTATTAGAAATATATAGCTTCTGGTTTTTTTTTTTTCAAAGTGGAGTTGAGGAAACATGATTGAGGACATGGAAAATTGCCTGTCAAGTGCTTCAAAAAGTTTTTATTTTTTAAAGCTGCAGTCCATAACTTTTGGTGCTCTAGCGGTTAATAAACACTAGTCTCGCGGAAGAACATTGTAGCCGGAACTACTTCTCCCTGTTCATGCCTATGACGAGTCACACATGCTGTCTAAAATAGTCCAAGTATAAACACTTATTATAGATGTACCGTAGTGATTCAGGATAAGATAAAAAACACATGTTGTACTCGCTTATTATATTAATTTTGAACATGAATAAAGTTATGGACTGCAGCTTTAATTATTATTAGGTACTAATTTTGAATTTTGTTGACTGGGTACATCTATGCATGTGGTTGATCAACATTTCATGTAAAATATGCAGTATTGATTCATGGGGACTGTAGGAATGACCCAGCAATGCAAAAAAAAAAAAAAAAAAATGGTCCTAAAAAATGGGTTTAATTTTCTTCATGCGATTGAGCCTTTCATGTTTTATTCCTTGATTTTGGAGTGAAAACCCCCCGAGGATTCGCCCATCGCCACAGCATTGTAGTGTAATTGCATATTGCTCTGTGCAACCGAATGACGTAATGTTTAATTATTCAAATTAACATGCGCATTAATTCTCTGCTGATAACCGCATGCTGGAGTCCATCTGCGCATGCGCACTGTGTGTGTGTGTGTGTGTGTGTGTGTGTTTCCCCTTGTAAATAACGGCAGCACTTTAAACGCCTCACAGTTCGTGTGAAACAATTCACTGGGAGCTTTAAAAAGCCTTGAGCGCCGACAATCAGAGAAGAAGTGTTTTCAGGATCTCTGCTATTCAGTGTGTTTCTCGTCTGAACACAACGACTCAAACATCGCGATTCGCGACTCAAAGACGATAGCTCGAGCTTTGCCTGTAGCGATGCGCCTTCATGCTTTGCATTAAAGACTGGTTCCTTAAGAGAGTTTATAATAAACCATTAAACTGCTTTTTTATTGAACTAAGAAACAATTATGTCTACTGCAATACATCACAAATAAAATGTATTTCATTCCCAGTGTGTTTGTGTTGTGTGATACTTGTTTCTGTGTGTCCCTCTAGTGGTTAAAGCACAGAACTGCACGCATTTGCGGAAGAACACTGTTGTTTTGGTTGTGCTTCGGCTCTGTGCGGATGAATATGATTATCCTGCGGCGCATAAAACCAGTTGTTCCTTGTCAGAGACATCAGTTTAATAATGTTAAATAGACTTTTAACAGTGACACATACATTATGGAAATACAAATACTTACGTTTTACAGTTTATTAAAACGTCATTATGTCATTATGAATTTAAAATCGCAAGATGTTATAAAGTTCTACCGATTATGTGAATATAGCTATGATTCTTTCAAAGAGTAAACAGGAAATTCAGCGGGAAAATTTAGAGTAAAACTGTCGAATATAAATACAAATAAGTTCAAAATAAATAAATTATACATTGTGAGTAGAAAAAAAATCTAAATAAAGTAATATAATCGGTATGAAAAATATATACACACAGATTTATAATATTAATTGTCATAGTATAAATTAGGTCAAGTATATATACTTTATATATTTCTACTTGTATAAATTAAATATTTTACATGTATTTATCAAATTATTTTTCACAGTATAAATGGGTTCTTCTAGGGTGTCTGTGGAAAAATTTAGTGAAAAACTAAAATAAATAAATAAATGAATAAAATAAACATATTTTTACACTTTTATTTTTCACATTATAGCCTACATTGTCTATGCTCTATCCATATGACTTTAGGATGGGGTCCCGCTCATATCTGTGTCTGAAAGATTGAAACGCCCTTTATTATTATTGGTTATTAATTATCAGCTCCTGTTTGTTTGTACATGACATAGTGTTCAATAAAAATTGTTTACAAATAAATCCTGTTCATCTGCGTTTGGCCAGTAGAGGGCACTGTCTGGCGAGATGCTCGCGACACACGTTTCCGCTTCAAAACACGCGTCATTTCCTGCCAAAGTAACGCGGGTTCTTGCTAACACGCAGAGAGTTTGAGATGAGCAGAATAAATGTATTAATTCCTCATTAATAACGGAATTACCTACATATTTCTTTGTTATTGTTGTTGACGACCCGAGGGGGAATCTTAGTGAAGATGGGAGACGATCCGGACTCGATTCCAGAGAGAGAGATGAAGGTGAGACACTTGCCGGCTAGTGTTATTATTATTATTTTGAATAATATAAGTATTACTATTACAACGTTCTCTGGCAGATAAAGATGGTATAGTTCGTTTGAATATATTTAGTTCGTGTCAGTGTGTTTACTGTCTCTTGTTAACTGGTCTAGTGTAATTTTTGTAAATAGCTTGAATCCTTGGAGAATATAATGAGTAAGAAGATATTATACATACACATGTAAATTACATTAGCGCTATATATATATATAAAGTGTCATAACTTCACAATATTTTCTCTACATGTAGGTTCATTTCATTATGACTTTTATTATTTGACACGGTTCTCTGAAATTTAAAGAAAAGTAATAGATTTAAAGTCACTCATTATATAAAATAAAATCAGTTTCACTTCTAGTTTCATTTCTTTTCACTTCTGTCACATGATCATTATCACATAAACGACCAGTCAAATGTTCTGGATCGGTGAGATGTTTAATGTTTATAAGAAGACTCTTCTGCTCACCAAAGCTGTGTTTATTTGATTATACCAAAATACAAAAAAAAAAAAAGTAATATTGTTAAATATTATGACGGTTAAAAAAAAACAAACTGTGTTCTATTTTAATATATTTTTAAATGTAATTTGTTCCTGTGATTTCCATCATCATTAGTCCAGTCTTCAGTGTCACATGACCCTTCAGAAATCACTCTAATATGAGGATCTGATAATCAAGAAACATTTATGATTATTATCAGTGTTGAGAAAATGTTTTCTTCTTTTTTCTCAGGATTATTTGATGAATAGAAAGTTTAAAAGAACAGCATTTATCTGAGCTAGATTAATTTGTAACATTATAAAAGTCTTTACTGTCACTTTTGATCAATTGAATTAATCCTTGATTATTCTTGACTAAAAGTATTGATTTATTTTATTTATTTCCCCCTAAAAATAAAATAATAATTCGTACTGACCCCAAACTGTTGAACGGGAGCGTTTAATGTCACAAAAGCGTCTATTTCAGATAAATGCTGTTCTTTTGAACTGTCTATTCATCAAAGAATCCTGAAATAAAAATGTAAATAACTGTTTTGAACACTGATAATAATCATAAATGTGTCTTGATCATCAGATCCTCATATTAGAGTGATTTGGAGTGACATAGAAGACATCTATTTCACATCGGAAGAATATTTCACAATATTACTGTTTTGTTGTCGTTGTATTTTAATCATATAAACGCAGCCTTTCCGAAACATTAAAAGACGTTTGACCGGCGGTGTGTAGTAATGAAGCGGTCACATGTCCTCATGTCTCTCTCCAGGACTTCCAGTTCCGGCAGATGAAGAAGATCCGCGTGTTCGAGGCGAGTGCGGATCTGCCGAAGCAGCGCTCCAGTCTTCTGTCCGTCTCCAATAAATACGGGCTGACGTTCGCTGGCCGGGACCGGGCGCTCAAGGTGTTCTGGACCAGAGACGTCATCGCCGCGGGGCGCCAGGAGGGAAACCCCAACAACACCGGTGAGACGCACACGTCACGCATCCGAACAGGAGCAGGAGTTAGCGGAGGCGGGTCCTGATGAGGCCTGGGTTAGGGCAGATTACAGTGTGTGTCATAAATTACTGTTAATTAATAACTGAATCAGAATCAGTTCCTGATGATGTGGGCGGGGCTATAACCTGTCACTCACATGAGATCAGCCAATAGCAAACCACAACCATCCAATCAACTCCACGTGGGCACAATCAAGCCCCGCCCACATGTGTTCTCGTTCCAGAAGTGTTTCACTCGATCTACGACACAATAGAGGAGAAAACACCAGCTATAGTCTAGCTCATGGGTCACCAAACTAAGGCCCGCGGGCCGAATCAGGCCCGCCACACCCCTTTGACTGGCCACCCAACCCCTCTGCCCCCCACTACTTGAACCGGCAATCCCCAAAAGTCGTCATGGCCTATTTTTTTAAATTGCTTTTTGGAAAATAATAACATGTCTGCATTTGGTATTTTGTTGTTTATTGAGCATGCTCACCTGGATAGGCATAAGAGCTGACTAGTTCTATTACTCATGTTGTTGTTATAATTTAAATGTTTATTTATTTATTTTATAGGCCTATTTATTTGACCTTTATTAAGTGCTGTACACAATTATTATAAATAGTAACAGGCCTACCTATAATTTATAATTTTTCATTCATCCTTACCAGTGCCACTCACCTCAACTAGGCAGATGTTTCTTACCTTGACAGGTTTGATGTTATTTGTATTCGAAAATAAATAAATGGAAAATCTGTGGTATTTCAAATTAAAACAAAGTGTGAAGACTCGATTACTACTTTTGCAAACAACTATTAATGATAAACAAATATGGCTGTGCCAGGCTAGTAATCTCTACTATGAGGCCCGCTGGTGGTCAGTTTGGTCTTGGTCACACAATTCTATTTTATATAGCCCCGGCCCCCCATCACAGTCAGGAACGATAATGTGGCCCCCAGAGAAAAAAGTTTGGTGACCCCTGGTCTAGCTCAATAGGCAACAAGACAAATAATATAAGCAAGCCTAATTTACCTATTGAAAATGAAGCAAAAATACAACACAAATGAATAAAAGCATATTATGAAAGAATATTAAACATGACTGATGTGTGTGTGTGTGTTTCATCAGTGGAGTGCCCGAGCGCCGCGACGGTGACCGTTGCCGTGGCGATGCATCACATAGCCCTGAGCAGCGACGAGCTCACGCTGTGTGTGTGTGGAGCGAGCGGAGCCTCTGACCTCACGCTGGACTTCTACGACGTGCGCTCCTTCCTCAAAAAGGTCACACACACACACACACACACCTCTTCTCACACTGCGGAGACTGGCCTTCATTCTTAATGACTTCATGAATGGGTCCATGTGATGATGATGATGATGGGAGGTGCTGCTATTTACACCTTCATTAATATCCTTTCAGACCGAAAAAAAATATATATATATTTTATGAACATAAATAGAAAATGCCAAACAATCGCTCGTGTGATGTCTGCAGTCAAAAACTAATAAATTAACAGGAAATATGCTAAATGTGAATGCGTAATTTTTACGGGGTAAAAGTAAACCTCTACAAACAGCCACGATAATATATCAAAGATGCTGAAATATACATCCACATGCGCAACGTAATAAAAGTTACTAATATTAGTAACTATGTCTGAAAATACTCCTAAATACAAATAGGGAATGCACAGATTTTAAAAGTTTTAAAAATGAATTAATTTTAAAAAAGTAACATTTAAATACAAAAAGGCATGTACATGTTAATTTTTAAAATTAAGAAGTAATCCTTTTTATATAATTTTTTATATACAGGCATTTAGTGGTTACATCACTGTTTAACGTAAGATTTTCTTTATTTCTCCCTGTAATCTGCCTTCCATGCACTGCATATGAAGTATTTTTGCTGAAACTCTATTAATTTTTTTTAAACATCAATATGAGTTTAATATTTTATGTTTTTATATAGAAATAAATGGTTTATAATTTAGTGGTGAATATTGTCTAGTATAATAAAATCCCCTCAAAATACAATATATTAAAGTTCAACTGTAGTTATCCCTTAAAACTCATCTTTAATCAACAAAATTATATATTTAAACATTTTTTCGGTAACACTTTACAATAAGGTTCATTAGTTCACATTAGTAAATACATTAACTAACATGAACTAACGATGAGCAATGAATTAGTTACAGTGTTTGTTAATCTTTGTTAATGTTAGTTAATATAAATACAGCTGTTCATTGTGTGTTCATGTTAGTTCACAGCGCATTAACTAATGTTAGCAAGATTTTAGTATTAGTAAATGTTGGAATTAATATTAACTAAGATTAATAAATGCTGAAGAAGTATTGTTCATTCTTAGTACATGTTAACTAATGAACCTTATTGTAAAATGTTACAATTTTTTCTTTAAAAAAAACACGGTGTGTGTTAAAGCGTATTAAACACACCACATACACACATAAACAACATTAAACACACCACAGGGGGACAATGATAAGAATAAATTTCATTGCAATAAAATATCATTAATTTAAAGAAAAGCGTGTGTGTTGACGTGTGTGTGTTTGCTGCAGCAGGACCGACAGGAGAAGCGTCCCTTCACCTCCTTCAGGCCCCCGTCCTCTGGAGACTCGCTGGTCCAGGATCTGAAGTGGAGTCCGGTGGACCCGACCCGTCTGGCCGTGTGTGTGTCGGACGGCAGCATGATGGTGCTGGACGTGCAGGACTCCGTCAGTGTGTTCGCTCAACTCCCTGCCTCCGTGGGAATCACCTCCAGTCAGTGCTAACTAGCGTTACCCTGATTATTAGTGCCATCTCATAGTAATGACTCTGACCTGATTCAGGGTTCGTTCAAGCGCTTAAAGGTGCAGTGTGGAAGCTTTAGCGCATCTAGTGGTGAGGTGGTGAATTGCACCCGGAAGTGATGTCGTCAGAGAGTGGACAGTTCAGCAATGACGTTTCTTTACAAAGATTAAGAAAATTAGGTTTGCTTAATTATTCAGTAAAATATGTATCTGCGAATATTATCGTTGCTTGTGTCCGTGTTTTATTATAAACATATTTATAATTAAATAGACAATGTAATTAAGTAACGATTTTAAGTTTTATTAATAAGATTAGATTGGATCCTGAGGTGCCTAAAAATGCCCATCCCGACTATACAGTGACTAATTGCTTGAATAATACAAGATGATAAAGAGCTTAAAAAATAATCGCATATTAAATCGCAATATTGGTTTAAAAAAATGAGCTTTTTACACCCTTGTTCCTCTCTCTCTCTCTCTCACGTTGCAGTTTGCTGGAGTCCCAAAGGAAAGCAAGTGTCTGCTGGGAAACAGGACGCCACAGTGGTTCAGTTCACTCCTGTAAGTGTCTTCTCTCCAGATTACACTCGTCGTCTGTTAACGGGCTCCCATAATGCTCTTTTCACACTATTTAAAGTGTGTGTGTGAGAAGTTTTAGCTCAAAATACCCCACAGATATCTTTATATAATATGTTAAAATTGTCACTGTGAGCAAAAACGTTGTGTGTGTCCCTTTAAATGCAAATGAGCATGCGTCTAAAATGTTTTCCTGGGGGCGGGGTTTATGCAAATTTTGATGTCACTAACCGGTGAAGAGGCTCATTGTAGTTCCTACCAGCCGTGAGTTGTAGTCCTTCAGATCGCTTTAATGCTTGCGCTCTTTAAAGCAGGATGGATTCTGATTGGCTGATCGTCCATCAGCTGGAATAAATCTTATAATCAACAGTTATCATTCATAGTTATTTATCGTTATCATGTGAAGTACAATTTAGGAAGTCTACTATGCATAATCCCTTTCAGAGAGGTGGATTTATATATTTTTAACAAGCCTTTTGGGATATCTGTGCACAGGCCATTTAAAATACACACTTTAAATAATTATTACATCAAGTACTGTATGTTGTATAGATACTTTTAATTCCTGTCTGTTAGTTATGTATGTTTATTTTTTCTATGTGTTGGAACGCTATCCTGCGAATTTATGTCAACTTATATTGTACGTTCATCAATATGAACTTTCACATCCAAATAAATAAAACATGAACGAATAACAGGCTTTTAATCCCGTGTCAAGGCATCTTCATCTATACAGCGCTTTAACACTTAGGCTTTACAGCAGATCTAGAATAAAGTTATTGTCCAGATTCTGTCTCATGTCATGCCGTGTGTGTGTGTGTGTGTGTGTGTGTGTGTGTGTGTGTGTCTCAGACCTTACAGGCCAAAAAGGTGATCCCGTGTCCCAGCTTCTACAGCCAGGATCATCCCGTCAAAGGTACGACTGTGTGTCTGTGCAGCGTGTGACCGTATGAACATCGTTAGGGAAATAATCAAACTGCGTTTCAACAATTATAATAATAAAAATGATTGTTATAAATACTAAACTAATAACTAATGAAGATATGTGACCCTTAAGGGGTTAAAGGTGCCTACTCTATGCATGTTTAGTAAGATTCTCTCTCTGTTAAACATGTTATTAGACCGTCCTGGGTTTAATATAATTCTATGAACTTATTATTTTACTTACGGTGAGACGCTACAGGTGAATAGGGTAATATTTTTAAATAATATATATCACCATGAAACTTCCTCAGTTGATTACGTACAAAAGCATTAAAAAAATGAGTTATAAGTTTTTGAAATTTGTATGTTTAATCATGCAAATTAGGCATTATCTCATTAAATATGCGCAATGTATTTTCGGTAGATAGATCTGAACATATGATAAAGCCAGGTGCAAAATTATTTTAGCATTTTGTTTACACGCAAGATGAAAAATAAAAGTTCAGAGGGATTTTTGGATGTATGCTTTCATTACCTAGGAAATCAAAATATACTGTCCATACCCTTGTCCAAATTTTTTAAAAATTAAAATGTCACATAGATCAGGCCAAGAATGATTTATTAACAAATCGCTCTGAAAATATCTTCAGATGACTGCTAAGTGTACAACTGGAGAGTTTGCTGTCCACAGGGGCTGCATGAGACGTTTCTACTGGAGAATGACAAACTCATTTTGAGAAAAAGGCATAGGATTTTAATACATTTCTATTGGGAACAAATTGCTCAAAAACAGAACAAATGCTCAGGCCCTTAGTAATAATAATATATAATATTTCAAGCTCATGAAAACTGATTATTTAATAACATGGCAGGGCATATGAGGCCTACAACTGCAGTAAATCAATGAATTAACATTGGCAGAGTACACCATGTGATGCGTCTGAGCGAATTACATCAGCAGTAGCCAATGAGAGTTCGCCATTAGCTTTAGATCACCCTTTGGATATTCGTGATTGGTTACCGATAGAAAGGAAATGCCCATATTTGGCAGACTTCAGTAAACACACGGATCGCGGCATGAGGCGGCACTTCTTGGTAAATTCGGGAGAAATTTACTGCCGCAAGTAAACTAAATTAAGTATAAATTTTAATGTATATGTTCAACGTTTTCTTTCTAGCAGCTTGAAAGCACACTTATTGAAGGAGTAAACTAGCCCAAAATCTCAAAACTGATCACTACATGAAAAATCGATGTTTGTGCCTGCCGTGTCTCGCCTTAAGGATTTATTTAGTAAGATTATGCCTGAAAAGGGTTTGGATTTTTTTTTAAATCATGTTCATAAAATTTTTTAAAAAAGTATAATATGACTTGTTGTGTTTGTTTGCGAACACCATTCGTAGGGATGCACCGAAATGAAAATTCTTGGCCGAAACCGAACACCGAAACACCGAAAGAAATTATGCCAATTATTAGTATCATTGCATTTATGGCTATGACTGTGTACAAACGTTACTAAAATCAAGGTATTGCAATTGCATAAATTAATATAAAATTTTCAAAGAATAAATCAATTACAAATTATGCAAATATTTATTTAGCACAATGCACAGTATAAAATAAAATTCAAACTAAAATGTTGAACTTGACCCCACTCATGTGTACATTAAATAATAATCTAATGGCCTGCAGAAAGGTTTTAAAATTAAATGTTCTCTCATAAAAACAAAGCCGAGGGCGAACTTATTCTCATCACACCAGCACCCTTTGCACGTCTGAATTAGTTTCTTACATTTTAAAAATTTAGCATACAGTAGCATAAAAAGCCTTTTTAAATGAACAAAGGTCCATGATTAATACAAATGTACATGAAACATGTTTAGTGAATGTAGAAAATATTTAAGAGAGCATTAATTTAGTTATGCATATATATTTTTTTGTAATGTCACAAGTAATAATCTCAGGGTTTACTGGGTTTTACATGATTATTTTTGTATTGGTTGTGGTATACTAAAAAATAAACATAAACATGTCATGTGTTTATATTTCTTCTTCTCACCGATTCCTAATGGTTAGAGGACAGTTACTTGAGTCGTCCCCTGTCGTTTCAAGGAATAGTACAACGGCACCGCAGACATGTTGCTTCAGACAAGCACGTGCAGGTCGCGGTTTCTGTTTGCGTCATCACAACATTTCGGCCGTATTGTTTCGGTGATAAAAGTCTTTCGGCCAAAAACCGAAAATGCACTTTTGGGCCATTTTCGGCCGAAAATGTTCGGTGGCCGAATATTCCGTGCATCCTGTACACCATTGAGGACATATTTATGAATTAAAAAAATTAAATATTGATTTTTAAATAATAAAACACATAAAGTACACATTGTCCCTTTAATTTTTGCCATGAAAAAATTAAACATTCTGAACATTCTCTCTCTCTCTCTCTCTCTCTCCCAGTGCTGGATGTGTTGTGGCTGAGCACGTTTACCTTCGCGGTGGCGTACGCGGCGGCTGACGGCTCTCTGGAGACGCCCCCTGAGCTCGTGGTGGTGTCGTTACCCGTGAGTCACTCACACACACGCGCGCACACACACGTCACATTATCCACAGCCACTTACACTGCATTTCAAGGCACACATTTACATTCTTATCAGTTCTTGCTTTCCCTGGTCCAGTATAAAACCATTACGCCTATGTAAAGAATAGCAAAACAGACCTGTGTGTGTGTATGTGTGTGTGTGTTTCAGAAAAAGGACGAGAAGAGAGGCGAGCGCTATCTGAACTTCAACGATCTGGTGTACGGCACGTGCACTGAGAGGCAACATCACTACTACCTGTGCCACATCGAGGACTGGTGAGGCTCACACACACACACACACACACACACACACACACACACACACACACACTCACTGGAGTCGGTGAGTAAATCAATGAAACTGGTTTGTCCTGCGCAGGGATCTGGTGCTGGCCGCGTCCGCCGCTGCTATTGAAGTTAGCATCATCGCCAAACAAGAGGACAAGGTAAACACAAACACTCCAAAACCAAAGTTATTATTGTTTTTAAAAAAAAGATAACCCTTCTTAACCCTTTTAATGTTTTAAAAACTGAACACTTGTTGAGTTCCTGGGTCTATTTGGACCCGGTGAACCGTAAGCTTATAAAACAGTCATAACTGAATATAACAAGACTGGATTATTCTTTGATTGTTCTGCTAATGAGTTTGAGAGATGGTTTGGAGGAACGGGTCAGGATTATATAGGGGTTGTGGGGTTAAAGTTAACACATTAATGCATTAAAAGTACATCGTAAGTACATCGTAACTTCCTAAGAGGACTTGAACACACCGTTTGTCGCTGAGGTTTGATGTGATGTGTGTGTGCAGGTGAACTGGGAGCTGTGGTTGCTGGAAGATGCCAGTCGAGCGGAGCTTCCCGTCACCGAGAACAATGAGGACACACTTCCTGTGGGCGTGGCCATCGACTACACCAGCCAGGAGGACATACAGCTGTGTAAGCGCTCCTCGTTTTTCTGTGTTTGCCCTCCAAAATGCACGTTAAAAATACAGGAGTTGGAGAGACATTTAATGTGAACCAAACCGCTCTGAAAACATGCAGAGCCTTCGATCTCACGGCCATGATTTTACAAGATATATTGCCATTTCATTTTTAGGTTATACTTTATTTTGCAGTGTCCTTACCATAGGAATAACAGTAAATTATGCATAATTACCTGTAATTAACCCTCAACCAAACCCTATAGTGAGTATATGCGGTTACTTAACATTACTCAGTACGTATAAATATATAAGTACTCTGTAACAATGACATCTTTTAGTTTATTCGTAGCTAAAAACACTCAAAAAAATATGTGCTCATTAATGTATATTTACTTCGTTCAAGTAATAAAGTATTCAATATGCCATTGAAAATACATACGGGTGAGGGCTTCTAATGTCGGTCGCCATGTTGCCCCTCCATCTTAAAAGTACATTAGCCAAAGAGGGACATACTCGTTAATTCAAGCTTCGCCTTTCGCGTTTAACACTCATGGACGGGGTCGAACCGGAAGCCATGTTAATCTTGGACTACATTGGCCACCGTAGGAGTTAAAACGCAATCGGAATTGAGAGGAACAGAAACTAATATTCACTGGATGGTCATATACCTTTTCACCACTAGATGGGGATAAAAATCACACAGTGCAGCTTTAACACTACGCAGATATCGAATTGAAATTTGATTCTCGATTTTGAGTCGTGGGATTGCAAAAGATTCCCAGCCCTAGTTTTAAACATTCGGCGCGTTCGCACCACAGGAACTGGGATCTATTGTAGTTCTAGGAGCTCTCTAACTCCTCCTCCAGAGTCGTCTAAACCAGCGCGATAGATCTGTGGTGTTCTCTGATTGGCTGAACGCCCGTGAAACACCAGCAAAAGATAATAGCCGATATATCTACACCAGGAACTAACTCCACGAACATGTGAAACCTCTAAATCTTTACGCTGAGGAGAAACTCCAACACAGCTTTGAGGAACCGAGAGAAACATGATGATGTGTTTCTGCTCAGCTGATAACTGTCCGTCACGGTCTAATATCTTGTATTGTTGTGTTCCTGTGGTCCTCAGCGGATGAGAAGCGCCTGCCTCCGGCGCCGACGCTGATGCTGCTGTCTACAGACGGACTTCTGTGTCCGTTCTCGTTACTGAACCTCAACGCCGGGGCCAAACAGCTGAGCGTTCCTGCGGCCCCACTGCCCGAGGACGGAGAGAGAGCGCCCGCCGCCCGTAAGACGTCACACTCATGACGCTCTGATGTTATTGGTAGACTGCACGTCTGGCCATATCTATACAAAAGACCATCACAAGTGATATATGTATACAACTATGGGAATAAATGACTTTTAAGGCTAAAAAGAGACTGTTGGGAGAGTGTTTTATATTACCACAGCAGTGTTCAGTGGATTAAATCATTTACATCAACGAATCAATCAACAAATTAAACTCACTCATACTGGCACAAATTATAAAAACGTCATTCGAATTTGACAAATAATCAATTTTCTTGTGCCTAATAGAGAGCCTAAGTCCCTGCCCTTCCAGTCGACCACCAATATTGAATGGTAGTCAATGGCGAGAGTAGGGATGCACGATATATCGGTCGGCATATCGGTATCGGCCGATATATGTTCATTTTTAATGTTATCGTTATCAGCCTGGTAAGAAAATGTGGCCGATATATTAAAGCCGATAAATAATGTATTATTCCTTTCAGCTGAGACACTTGTTGAGCACTGTTTGTTTTTGAATTTCTTGAAATATGATTGAAATCTCTTCAAAAAAAATGAAAATACGGTTCAGTACAACATGTCATATCGGCTATACAACACTATAACATGGACATGGATTTAATTGTGAGACTTTTGTTTTTGTAGTCAGGCTCTCAAAATTAGATAAAAATTTGGATTTAAGTTTATCGGCCGATATATCGGTTATCGGCTTTCAAATATAAAGTATTATCGGTATCGGCCAAAATTTTCATATCGGTGCATCTCTAGGCGAGAGACAACAAATATTTTGATCTGGTTTGAATCGTGCCCTGAATTACACATATGATGTTTGTCAATTTAAAAGAAACATTTGAAAGTAAAGAAAGTCACAGTTTGATGTGAAACCGTTGAGGTATAAGACTGTGAAAATATGTAATTACAAAGACTACAAACCCCAAAGGCGCACATTTTCTCTCAATGAATGAAGCTAACTTTACTCAGGGTTCCCGCGGGTCCTTAAAAAGTCTTAAAAAGTCTTAAATTAGATATTTAACATTTAAGGCCATTAAAAGTCTTATAAAGTCTTAATTTTAGATATGAAAGGTCTTAAATTTTAGCTGACACTTCGACTTAGTCATATCTTAATGTTTTCCAAATTAAAACCATCTAATTTGCGTACGTATTAATTTTTATTTATCTTTGTGGATTTGCTTGTTCACGTGACAATTCGCGTCACGTTCGCGGTGATAACGTCTGTCTCCTGCACGCGAGAGAGAGAGGAGAGGAGGAGATAAGTTGGCAAATGTCAGTTCAGTCGTAAGTTAATTCTTTATGTGCGTAGAGGTGTGCGATGTGTATTGTCTGTTATGATATTCTATTGTTTTAACGATGGACGAGGCACTGTGAGTGTGTGTGTGAGCTGACATCGCATTTGTCTCTCGTTTTTTCACTGCATGATGTGTGCGGTTATAGGCATAGACATGTATTTATTATGTCTATGCTAGGTATGTCCCCAAATTAGTTTTTGCCTTATATCATGTTATTATGTTAGAATATCACATTAGTAAGAGTGCCATTTTCCCGTGCACAAGTGTGATATTTATGTTAGTTAATTTAAAAATAAATTGACATAGTGAGTCAATTTTTAAACATAACATTATCGATGTTGTTTGTTTTCCCTTTATTTCGCTGACTAGAATTTCAAAATGAAACCGTAGCAATCTCAATGCAACAGACAGCGATGATTTCTTGAAGGAAATCCGCGTTTTGAACGAGTCATTTTAACGATTCAATCACTTGCTTCTTTCCCGTTTGAACAAATCGGTTGAATGAATGACTCCCTCAACTCGCTTATTAAGACAGCGATTTGCCGCCACCTACTGGCGGTTTTAGTTTCATATTAAAAGTAAAATGTTAAAATTAGAAATCATTTCACATTTAAATATTGATTTAAAAAAAAACGTATAGCTTGATTTATGCAATTGTAAATGGAGTGTATATATTAATGCCACTTCTAATGCTGCTTCTGCGTCACCTCTGCACTGCAAAGATGGATTTTTGATTGAATGATTTAATTTGACTGCTAACAGTGGTACTGTATGATTATTGTGTAATTAAATATTATTGTATAAATAAGTATAATTACTTTATATACGTGATGCACGTGATGCATAACTCTAAATAAGTTTAGAAAAAAAAATCTCCATAAATAGGTGAAAATGCCCCTGGAAACCAATTTAAGGTGGCAAATATTGCACATTAATTAATGATTTCTGTCACTGCTGTGAACTGACTACTGCATAGAATATGAAAAATATAAATATCTCCGCGAGTCTGCTGTCAACAACAGGCCTAAACCAGCCATGGCACCAGCACAAAAACACAATCAGTAAAATATCAACTAATTATTGATAATTAGTTGATATTTAGATTGTGTTTATCAAAAAAACGTTGAAAATATCGAGATATATTTTTGTCAATATCGCACACCACTAATGTATGGTATTAATTTTGATTTCTTAAGGTCTTAAAAAGGTCTTAAAAAGCCTTAAATTTTACTTTAAAAAGTGTGCAGGAACCCTGTTACTGAGGCTATTGTTTGTCATTGTTTCTACAGTCTTACGTTATAATTGTAACTTTACGGCGTCATACCTGAGTGCACACACACGAGCAGCAGATCTCGCTCGTTGTTTTGCTTCCCGGGAGATGTAGTTCATAGACCGATTTTTACATAAAACTAAATGTTACTCTTCTGTTGTATGGCAAACTGCGACGTTTTTGACTTTCAGAATTATCTTTTAAATTGACGAACATCATATGTGTAATTGAGGGCACAGTTCAAACAGAATAAAAAGATAAGTTGTCTCTCGCCATCGACTACCATTCATATTTTTTCCGAAATAAGGAAAAAGCCGGAAGCAGAGGGGCAGGACTTAGGCTCTCTATAGTCAACGTAATGCATGGGAAATGGTAAAATTAACTGCAGCAGTGCTTAACTTGCATTATAAATTTACAACACTCGAACTATCACGTTAAATGTATGAATTAAACTCACTGAGGCTGTCGACAGTTTCTTTTCCATGCATCATTTTATTATCCATGTATGTGGTTACAGTCAAATCATATAAAACAGTGAAATCGAACTCTTTCTTTCTGTCTTGCCTGCACTCGAGACGGTGACATGAGCTCCACTGAAAGACAGTCTTCTTTCCTATTGGTTGTCGCTCGTGAAAATCGCTTCTCATTTGCATAAAGTTGAAAATTATCAACTTTTGTCGCTTGACACGCCCACATTCTGTCATGCGTGTCGCCGGATGTCGCTCCATTGAATCAGTCCCTCCAGAAAAACGCGATTATGCGATCGCTGAATTCAATGCAAATTCGCATTTTTTTAAATACGCCGCATAAATTGGCGATTTCCGTGCAAAATATGCGGGGTTTGCATAATTTCATAATCCTCGCATTTTCGTTGCAAAAAAAGTTACATGTATCTTAGCAGAAAGTTGAAAAATGTTGCGTTTGCTTCACACAAGAGCAGCCATTTCCCCCTGTTTCCATGGGAACGTTAAGAAGTGACGAAATTACGCGACGCCGGACAGACTCACGGAGGCGATTGACATCTCACAAATCGAACTCGTATAACTGTCCGTCACACGTTCTACCGTCACATCGTTACTTAATAAACAACATAAGATAAAAGAAGTAGCATCAAACAGAAATTACCCGCACACATGGGGCGTTCGAGGCGCACATATAACACTGCAGAGAGTTCAACAGGAGCGCGCAGCTCTTAAAGGGGCCACACCTTATTAAACTCGTTACAGTCTGAAATAAAACAAGATGAGAAATTAAATATTCCCAGCACTTTCTATGATGTAGTATGCTTGCTTATCAAAGGAAGTAATAAGAAATGACTCTTACATTAGCCTAGTGAGAACACGATGTTGGGGGAATCACTTTTTTTCTCTTTTTCATCAAACCACAATTTTTGCAAGTTCCCTCAATTTTTGCAAATTCCTGCAATTTCATCGCATAAAATTGCAAAAATATCCTGCATATTCCATCGCATTTTTTAAAGAAAACGTGCCGCGTAATCAATCAATTTTTGCCCGCAACGATCACAAAAAAAAACGTTTTTCTGGAAGGACTGATTGAAATGAATGGTATTTTGTCGCTTTGTCGCTGGCGGTGTGAACGGGGCTTCACACACACACACACACTCACTCACTCACTCACACACACATACTCACTCACTCCAAACATTTTAAATGCACTTTTTTTTCTACAAATATTTAAAATTCAAATTTTATCATAATTTTTTTTTTTTTTTTCAAATTTTATTTGACAATGTTCAGTTGTAGCACTTTTAATCTCTTTTAAATCTTTTGTTTCAGAGTCGACCTCCTCTGCTGCTCCCGTTTCTGCACCGTCCTCAATCTTCCTATCGTTCTCCGCACCTCCTGGCACAGCCCCGCCCCCAGCCTCATTATCATTCACAGCCCCGCCCCCAGCCTCATTATCATTCACAGCCCCGCCCGCAGCCACATCATCCTTCACAGCACCTCCCCCAGCATTTACAGCCCCAGCCTCATCATCCTTCACAGCCCCGCCCCCAGCAGCCTCATCATCGTTCGGAGCTCCGCCCCCAGCCTCATCATCGTTCACAACCCCGCCCACAGCAGCCTCATCTTTCGGAGCCCCACCTCCAGCAGCCTCATCATCTATCGGAGCCCCGCCCCCAGCGTTCACAGCCCCGCCCCAAGCAGGCTCATCATCTTTTGGAGCCCCGCCCTCATCAGGCTCATCTTTCACAGCCCCGCCCCCCGCAGCCTCATCATCTTTCACAGCCCCGCCCTCAGCCTCCTCAGCTCCGCCCCCTTATCCGTCCTCCTCAGGTTTCTCGTTCTCTCTTCCTCCTGTGGGATCCGCCGCTCCCTCGAGCTTCTCTCTCGGCTCCGCCTCGACTGGCTTCTCCTTTACCGCTCCCAAACCCTCCTCTGACGCTTCTGCCTTCTCCTTCTCTTCCTCTGCTGCTCCTCAGCATCCTCCTGCTGTTTCTCCCATCATCAGCGGCCCCAAAGCCCCGGCGGAGCCTGCAACGCCTGCCGTCAGGATGAACCTCACCGACAGGTGAGCGCCTGTTCCATAAAGTGTGTTTGTAGTGTGTGTGGCGACACCCGCAGTGTTTCTGCAGAACATTTGTGAAGCCCAAAGTGGGCGGAGCCGGCCGTCGCCATCTTGGCTGCGCATCACCCCCAGATAAACGAACACCAGCGAGACGGATTGAGGTGACGCTAGCAGACAAATGGCTAACAGTGACATCAGCGGCAATCCACCCGTCACTCACTCTTAATTATGCAGAACTTTAAGGCTTAATATAATTTAAACGGATGAGTTAGAAAATAATTCCCCCTCACAGTCGTCATGAAGAGCAACATTAGCGATATAGACCAAAACCACTTTTAACACCAGACTGTAAACATGTTTATTTCTGCTTGGCCATTTTAACATGCGGGTCTATGGGAGTGAGTCTCGTCTGCAGCGCCTCTAGTGGCCAGAGGAGGAACTGCAGGATAACTCTCTCAGTGCTGGTTATAGAGAGAGAGAGAGAGGTTAACGCTTAGCCTGATCTCAATTTTTAATTTCCTGGATAATCCTGAATGATTGAATGAGCATTTGGCGTGTTTTGCGGCAGGTTTTCGGCGGTGGAAACCGTGACACCGGTCCCGACTCCTACCCAGCCGTTCTCTTTGACCTCGACTCCCAAACCGGCAGCCGCGGAGGTCATCGGTCCGACGGGACCCCCGCCCAAACCAACCGTTCCTGCAGGTACACGCCCACATTCCCAGCTCCTCGGTTATAAATGGCAAGCATGATGGGCTTTAAATCCGAGGAATAAATTACACTTTACTTTATCTTCACATAGAAAAGCTGATTTACATTTCTTAAACTGGATATGACATGCTTTGTGCTTGAATTTAAGATAAACTGTTTATAAAGTGGGACGTTTTATGGGCTTTTTAAAAAATCCTTTAAATGAAATTGTCATACTTTCACGTGTTGGGTCTTGCGGTGAATGTCTTCATAAATGTGAGGCCCCTGGAGCCATTAAATCAGATGATGATGATGATGTTGTGTTTCAGTGTCACGCAGCGCCGCTCTGCATAAGCCCGCCTCAGTCGCCACCCCTGCGTCAGCACAGGTACACCACCAAACAGCCTTCACATTAACACTTTACTCACCAATCACTGGTGCATGTGGTTTTTAATATCATCTCATTATTTGTGAGCAGGATTATTAGGCTGCTGTCACTTTAAGACCTGATGCACAGATCCAGAGTCTTTCTCAACTCCTTATGTTAACTTGTTTACTCACCAAGACCGCCATTTTTAACATTATTTTGTGTGTATTTGACTGTTAATCCACAATAAGTGATTAAGTGATATATATATATATATATTATAAGTTATATATAAATAAATATATTCATGTGTGTATTTATCTACACAAAATAATTGTACACCGTACACACACACACACATACATTATGTAAACACAAACTTATTTTGGATGTGATTAATTGTTGCCCAGCACTCGTAAAAATAAAACTGCATAGTCTACTGCATTAATTAAATATACATTGATTGTTATTAAAGCCACAGAAGTCATTCAGTCAAGGGCAGATTGTAGTTTGACTGACAGTAATGACACAGACGGCTGCAGGATTATTAGGCTGCTGTCACTTTAAGACCAAAAGCACGATCCCAATATGCTGATACACATACGCTGTTTACGTTCACCATAATAAGGCTGTTTTTGGTACTGGCAATGGGTTAAAAAGCATGAAAATAATCAACTTTTGTGATGATGAAGAACATCAGCATCATGCGAACACCAGCCGTAGATCGAGCACTGCAGCGGACACTAGGACGCTTTATTCGCTCACTGACCGACCGGGGTGTGTGTTGTCATAGCAGGTGGTGTCTGTGAAAGCCCAGGAGAGGACGCTTCAGCAGAAGGAGTCGGACCCCGTCATGACAGGAATTATGGAGGAGGTAGAGTCCATGATCACATGATCACATGTTCAAGTCTAGTGTTGGTGGGGGGGGGGGCATTGATTCTTAGATGCATCACAGACGTGGACGATTGTGAATCAGATCACAAATGTCAATAATCTATTTTCTGAACGTTAATTGATAACGTAATGTTGACGTAACGCAAAAGGTGCTTTACATTCTTATCAGTTCTTGCTTTCCCTGGGGATCGAACCCATGACCGTGGCGTTGCAAGCGCGAGCGCTCTACTGTCTGAGCTCCAGGAATAGTGTTAAACGAAACCGCGGACGTTTAGCGCTAGCTCAGGACAGGTTTACTCGTGGGCCGATCTCAATCACGCGACACTAAGTTATTACTCAGCGCTGGGAGATCCAGCGTTTGAATTCACAGCACAATTAATACCAATTCTAATTGGAAGAATTCAAATTCGATGCAGATTTATGTTATAAACCACTCGCAGATCGACCAGCGCTGACGAACTCTATCGCGACATTTATTGCCAAATCACTTCCATTCGTTTAATTGAGAAAATGTAGTGGAAATAAATTCATTACAAATACTTTGCTTTAAAAGTACTTGGTCACACAGTGAGAAATTATCTATTTAAAAATAAAACAAATGCATCGATAATTGTTTCATCAAGTCAGTCTCCATTTATATTAAATAATAAATAAATATGTAAAATAATAAATAAATAAAAACGTATCATCTCCGCACAAACTTAAACACGCGAACCTGTGAAAACGCGATAAAAGGCTTCTTTTCCACGTTAATCAGAGCTGTTGTGCTAACCAGCCGCGACACGCGACGATTCTACGATTTAGAAACGGTTTTATTTTTCTGCGACGTCGCGCTGGAACAACAAACACAAAGTGTGGCGATGATAACCTCACTGTTCATGTGCTTTATTTACTGTTAAAAGCGTGTCATGTGACTCTGAATGTCCAGCTTTGCAGCCGTAAAACGTGAACAGTTTGAATGAAAGAACGTTCAAACTGTGAACAAACAAAACATTGTTTTAGTAACTTAGAGTATCTGTTTTTAAATGGTGTAATATTTGTGAGTTTGATTATTGCTACTTATCCATTCTCTTGTGACGATTACGCTCTGGTGTCGCGAGACTCCGCCCACACACTGCCCTGATTGGCTGTGGGATTTGATTGATTTTAACGCATACAGTCGTGTCTAGTGTGGACAGACAAATTATGTATCGCTTGAATCTTATCGCGTCTGGTTAGGACACGCTAGGAGGTAGAGCCGATGATCACATGCTCGCGTCTGATTGGCCGGTCGTGTTCTCTGCTCAGATCGCTCACTTCCAGAAGGAGCTGGACGATCTGAAGACCCGCTGCAGGAATGCTGATTTCCGGGTGGGAAGCAAAGACGACATGAGAGACCTGAGGAAAGACTCGGAGAACTTCCACGCCTTCACTCTGGAGATCAAGGAAACCACGGAGGTACGACACACACCTACAGGGAGATCAGGATCACATGCTAACCTCACCCTGGCGCTGTTCTTTCTTTTGCGGAACACAAAAAAGAGAATTTATTTCATTATTTTTATTTTGAAGTCACATTTTTCTTAGTCTTGATTTAAACACAACTTGTGTGCGGTCAACTTGTGTCATGAACGCACAAGACCAACGGCCAAGGTCACCATTTTTGTTAAATAATACATTTGTTTTTCACCAAACCGCTTCGTAAACCCCTGGACACGTGGAAGACACGACACATCGGATCATTCTGAGACTCTTTTGTGTCTTATTTTAAGAAGCTTAATATATAATATAGATATCTCCAGTCTTTATTTGTTATAATTGTGATGATTATGGCTTACAGATATGAAAACCCCAAATTCAAAATTCAAATATTGTGAAAAGTTTTTCATATCTGTAAACCATAATCATCAACATTATAACAAATAAAGGCTTGAAATATCTCACTTTGCATGTGATGAGTCTATATAATATATTAGTTTCACCTTTTAAGTTGAACTACTGAACTTTTGCACCATATAAAAAAATCGAAATACTTGGTTGATGCTTTTACACTTTTAAATATCCCTGTAATGTTCAATGGATGAGTACAATAATGTCGTCGTATTGGGACATATTTTTATTTAAACGTATAATTGTGTTCGTAGAGCGAGCCTTTCACTGATTGTCTACAGCTAAACGGAAGTTACACCATAATTCTCGCAAAGCATCATGGGGCGCAGGAATAAGGTGGATGATGATGAACTGTAGATGTGTGATTGACCGTGTTGAACTGTTGTTCGCAGTCTCTTCACGGGGACATTAGCGCGCTAAAGACTAGCCTGCTGGAGGGTTTCGCTGGAGCCGAGGAGGCGCGAGCTCAAAGTGAACTCAACCGAGACAAAGACTATCTCCAGCTCCTCTACAAGAAACCCCTGGACCCGCGGCGAGATGAGCAGCTCAAGGTGTCCACACACACACGCACGCTTCCCGAAAACGTCACGATACTCTCTCGAACCGATTCTGAGCTGTAGTTTATAATAGCGGACACACTGCAAAAATACTTTTTCTTACTTAGTGTTTGTCTTGTTTCCAGTTCAAATGTCTATTTTGTAAAAATGTGACATTATGTCTTGTTTTCTGGGGAAATAAATAAAAATTAAGTGAGTTTTTGTTTAAAACAAGCAAAATTATCCACCAATGTGATAAGAAAAATAATATTTTAAATTAAGATTAAAAACCTAGAGCGCTATTAGCTGTCAAAAACTAGCCCATAGCGCTATTAGCGCTCAAACACTAGCCTAGAGCGCTATTAACTGTTAAACTAGCCTAGAGCGTTATTAGCTGTCAAAAACTAGCCTAGAGCGATTTTAGCTGTCAAACTAGCCTAGGGCGCTATTAGCTGTCAAACACTAGCCTAGAGCGTTATTAGCTGTCAAAAACTAGCCTAGAGCGCTTGTAGCTGTCAAACTAGCCTAGGGCGCTATTAGCTGTCAAACACTAGCCTAGAGCGTTATTAGCTGTCAAAAACTAGCCTAGAGCGCTTTTAGCTGTCAAACACTAGCCTAGAACGCTCCGTCAAACACTAGCCTAGAACGCTATTAACTGTCAAAAACTAGCCTAGAGCGCTCCGTGAAACACTAGCCTAGAACGCTATTAGCTGTCAAAAACTAGCCTAGATCGTTATTAGCTGTCAAACACTAACCTAGCGGGCTATTAACTGTCAAACTACCCTAGAGCGTTATTAGCTGTCAAAAACTAGCCTAGAGCGCTTGTAGCTGTCAAACTAGCCTAGGGCGCTATTAGCTGTCAAACACTAGCCTAGAGCGTTATTAGCTGTTAAAAACTAGCCTAGAGCGCTTTTAGCTGTCAAACACTAGCCTAGAACGCTCCGTCAAACACTAGCCTAGAACGCTATTAACTGTCAAAAACTAGCCTAGAGCGCTCCGTGAAACACTAGCCTAGAACGCTATTAGCTGTCAAAAACTAGCCTAGATCGTTATTAGCTGTCAAACACTAGTCTAGCGGGCTATTAACTGTCAAACTACCCTAGAGCGCTATTAGCTATCAAACACTAGCCTAGAACGCTATTAGCTGTCAAAAACTAGCCTAGAGCGCTATTAGCTGTCAAACTAGCCTAGAGCGCTATTAGCTGTCAAACTCTAGCCTAGAGTGCTATTAGCTTTCAAAAACTAGCCTAGAGCGTTATTAGCTGTTAAAACTAGCCTAGAGCGCTATTAGCTGTCCAACAGTAGCCTAGAGCGCTATTAGCTGTCAAACACTAGCCTAGAACGCCGCCTGAAAGTGTGTTTGTGTCACAGGAGATCCGCCGCTTGTACCAGTACGTAAAGTTCGCCATGGAGGACGTGAATGGCGTTTTAGACGTGGAGTGGGAGATGCACTTGGAGAAGAAGAAGAAGCAGAGGTGAGCGGCTGTGCTTATTGTGTTTCCTGAGAATCCAGCCATCTATTTCGGGATATCGCATTTAAAAACGCTGGATGGAAACAGCAAGGTGTGCGTAATTTAACTCGCTCGGATCAAGTTCAGCGTCTGGTGTTTTTGACGAACTAGTAGATGCTGATGCACAAACACAGTATATGAAGGTAATTATATTTGCTCATTGCGCCCTCTTGTGGACACAGGAGACAATACAGCACCCTCTTCCTCTAACATTAAGTATTGCCTTTATAAAAAATAAAAAATAAAAAAAAAAGTATTGCCTTTATAATTAGAATTTTGCTAATATTTAATAAAGAAATTCAGATGTAGCTCTTCAGCCATGTTGACAGCCCTAGCGCTCATGTTTTTTATCCGATAAGAAGACGTGCGAATAACTGCGATGGAAACACATTTACTGAATAAATCCCATGATGCATCAGCTGTGATTGGATAACCGGAGTAACCAATGGCGTCGCAGCGTCTCTAATGTTGGTGTTTCTGAAACGCCGGAGTCGAAGTGTGTAATTCCCTCCAGAAGTGTCTCACACACACACACACACACGAGTGTGTTTCCGAACACCAGAGAACACGACAGCGTTTACTGTGTTTCGTCTGACGCTCGACACACACTCGTTTATGATAGAAGGAAAACAGCCACATTAAAGCAACTTACAGTTTTATTACTGATACTCTGCACTAGTTTCACAGGAAGTGATGATTTTGTTCTCTTGAACACGAGATTTATTCACGAATGTTTTACATGAGCGTAAGCTAATCCCGCAGCTTTGGATCCCGCAGGCACATGATCGTCCCCGAGAGAGAGGCTCTGTTTGCAGCGCTGGCCAATAACCTGGACATCATCAACCAGCAGAAGACGGTTCTGGAGCGTCTGTCAGGTGACCTGCACAAGCTGAGACTCTACAGAGGAACGTCAGCGTGGAGCTTCGCCAGCCGAACGCCCTCCACACCCTCAGAACAGAGGTGAACACACACTTCTGTCGCACCTGAACCACTAAAACCACTAGTTTGATGATATTTCTTTTGTATTGCAAATGTATCAATGATGAATTAAGCATGAGGATGTTGAGGGAGTGTGTTTGTCGGGGTTCACATGCTTCTGTGTGTTTTCAGTCTGGACCGCGAGCTGGAGAGTTTGAAGGAAGCTCTTCTGAAGGCCAGTCTGGAGACGGCACCCAAAGCTCAAGACAAATCCCCGTGTAAGAGTCGCAGGAGTGAGGAGACGATGTGTCTAAAGCCGCGTTTCCACCCGAACTATTTGAGCCAGGAACTGTTTCCACCGCGATCTAAAGCACCGCGAGGATTATAGGCTAATAGTTAGCACGGTGACGTAGCGTGAGACTTTATGGTTTCATCCTCTGAATATTCATGGGTGATGCGTTCATTGCGTGCGTCACGTGACAAATGAACAAAGGGAGGTAGGTAAAGTAATTGTTCCCTGTATATTATTTTTGCCTGCATTACAGAAAATGATTGCGTTGGTGCATGTGTTCGGGAAATTTGGCTGTTTCAAGCAGAACATTTAAAGGTTCTGCTTGAAACCTTTAAACTTTAAAAAAAAAAAAAACTTTTGCTGATAATTTACTCACCCCAGTGTCATCCAAGATGTCCATGTCTTTCTTTCTTCAGTGGAAAAGAAATTAAGGTTTTTGATGAAAACATTCCTGGATTTTCTCCATATAATGGACTTCAATGGGGACCAAACGGTTCAAGGTCCAAAAGACAGTTTCAGCGCAAACTGTTCAAAGGGCTTTAAACGACTCCAGACGATGAATAAGACGCTTATTAAAAAAATAAATAAAAAAGTTTAAGTTTTATAAGCTCAAATGCTCGCCTTGCTCTGTTCTGTGATGCGCGTTCGTGACTCTCCTGTTCGAACTCGTTCATCAAAATGAACAAATCTTTTTTCGAGTCATGACTCGAAGGGTCCTAGATAAGACCCTTATTCATCGTCTGGTGTCGTTTAAAGCCCTTTGAAGCTGCACTGAAACTCTCATTTGGACCTTGAACCGTTTGGTTCCCATTGAAGTCCATTATATGGAGAAAATTTTATTTTATTTATTACAGGCTATGAAAAAAAGGCCTTTTATTTCTAAAATATGACTAAAGTTATTTTTGATCTAAAAACATACTAACATTATAAGGGCATCCCAGGAAACAAAATAAAAAATAAAAAACATTCTAGGGCACATTTAAGGCCACTTGAATGAACGAAATGACTTGGGAAAAAAAAAATGTGTTAATTTTGATAAACGAGATCGAACGAGAGTCAGAGAAATGATCCCAAATTCTAGAATATATAGTCTTAATAAGGCCTGAACCTTTTAAGAGGACCAAATCTGAGTGTGGGCATGTTTTGGCTTTTACAAAAGTCCTGAGGATAACTCGATCGAGGATGCCGAACACGCCTCAGATCTGCCGATCGTCTCACAAGGCAAGTTAACTTTGACCTCAACACTAAAACTACGTCTGGGAAATAATTGGGCACAAAATGTTGTTTTGAGTTGAACTATTTTACCTCACTCACTTGAAATAGACGTGAAGGTTCGCAGCAAGACGAATGGACGAACAACTTCAAACCAGGCTATTATTAAGAGTGACATAGTAATGTACAGATTAATTGTACACTTATTACACGGATTTTTTTAATCACATCATTACGGGGACATATTGGGATTGTGTTCAATCTTACCCGTTTATAATAAATTTGTACAGCGGACAAAACAATCGTCCTGGCAAGATCATCAAACTCTGCAAACAATAAATCAACTCTGATTTTCAACATAATCAAAAACGGGAGACGGCAAGTTGTGTTTGAACGAAACGAGCGCGCGCCCGCTGTGATATGCATGTGCGCGGTGTAATAATGCGTTGCTATTGATGACGGCCGTTATAAAGAAGGAAATGCCACAGAACGTAATCTTGCTTAAAACTACATAGAGCTGCGTATTTATTTGTTGTTTGGTGATTTTCAACTATAGAACTTGTTGAAATAGTTTCAGTGTGAGCATCAGGTCTTTTTGAACACTTATCTCATTTTAACAAAACCATGATGATATGATGATGATGATCACGATGATTTTGGACACCGGCCCTCGTTCCTGTGGTGGAGACACGGCTTTACATGTCAATGCCATTACAATCATGACGCTTCTGCACAGATAAGTGAGATGTTGATCTGTGTGTGTGTGTGTGTGTGTGTGTGTGTGCAGCTAAAATGACCCCAGCCAAGCAGTCTCAGCTGAGGAACTTCCTGTCGAAGAGACAGACTCCACCGGTTCGATCCACGGCTCCTGGTACGTCATGAACTCTGCATTATGTGTGTTATTATGTCATCTAGAGATTAAGTAATAATCAGATTCCAGAAATGGAGAACTTGTTTTAAAAGGCCTGGAAATTATTCATAATTTGGTCCACCAAACACCGTGTCCTAACCTGACCAAAGTCTTTTCCATGTTAACTGGTGTTTTTGTTTTATCTGTGATTTATTCTATTTTTAAGCAACAACAACCACATACAAATATGACGATGATAATCTCAGCTACTGATAATTAGGGCTGGGTATCGTTTGAATAACAATTACAATTCCAATATTGTAAAATAAAATTATAAAAAAGAAAACGTTGATGCCATTCCCATTTAGTCTTATTGCAAAACACTTAATTGCATCTGAATATCATCATCAGCTAAATAACTCTTACTCGAGGAGCGTTCGCCTTTAAAAACACTATAGAAAACCACTAGCCAAACTAATATACATTTTCAGCATTATTAAAGACAATAAACACTCAGTTATTAAATAATCGCAACAAATAGACATGACTTATCAAAAATACGGTTGAAATAAACAGTGTTTTAAGATTTTCAGGTATTTTAAGGTACAGAAATTGTAATCAAGTCAAATTTAATGAAATAAATAAACTAACACTGCACTTTATGAATAAAATACACATTATAAATATAGTCACAGAAGTTATCCAGTCTAGAAAAAAAATGTAAAAAAATTGATAAGAGGGATCGAAATTTAAATTTTATAGCAAGTATCCGATCCGATGTTCGATTCCCAACCCTGCTGATAATGCGCTTTATTTAAAGTCCCCCTGTAGTCTATAAAACTCATCTCTCATCACTGAAAGTACATATTTAACAGTTTTTTTCTTGGAAATGCCTCAAAATATCTTGAATAACTCGACACCTTCGCCTCATTTAGTATGCGCGGTTCTATGAATATGCAAATCACATCTGATGTGGACAGACAAACTGCAAACAATCTATAAATCTTATGTTGCAGTGTTAGTCTTTTTTAATTACTTTAACTTTTTTAAGGCTATTGCATATACAGTATGTTCAGAAAGTCTTTCAGTTTATGCAATTGCACATGAGTTACAGAAATCATTGCATTAAGGTTTAATTAATCGTTGTTTTCTCAGCAACTCCTGATGATCACATTTGTATTATTGTTTTGAATTATCACTCAGTGAGTAATTTAACCATATATTACTGTGACTTTGTCAATCAAACTCATTTAAAATGAACAAATCAAACACTCAGTGTGTAATTTAACCATCTAATACAGTGTATTTATCAATCAAACTCATTTAAAATGAACAAATCAAACACTCAGTGAGTAATTTAACCATATATTACTGTGTATTTATCAATCAAACTCATTTAAAATGAACAAATCAAACACTCAATGAGTAATTTAACCATATATTACTGTGTATTTATCAATCAAACTCATTTAAAATGAACAAATCAAACACTCAGTGAGTAATTTAACCATCTAATACAGTGTATTTATCAATCAAACTCATTTAAAATGAACAAATCAAACACTCAGTGAGTAATTTAACCATCTAATACTGTGTATTTGTCTATCAAACTTATTTAAAATGAACAAATCAAACACTCAGTGAGTAATTTAACCATCTAATACTGTGTATTTGTCTATCAAACTCATTTAAAATGAACAAATCAATCACTCAGTGTGTAATTTAACCATCTAATACTGTGTATTTGTCTATCAAACTCATTTAAAATGAAAAAATCAAACACTCAGTGTGTAATTTAACCATCTAATACTGTGTATTTATCAATCAAACTCATTTAAAATGAACAAATCAAACACTCAGTGTGTAATTTAACCTTCTAATACTGTGTATTTATCAATCAAACTCATTTAAAATGAACAAATCAAACACTCAGTGAGTAATTTAACCATCTAATACTGTGTATTTATCAATCAAACTCATTTAAAATGAACAAATCAAACACTCAGTGTGTAATTTAACCATCTAATACTGTGTATTTATCAATCAAACTCATTTAAAATGAACAAATCAAACACTCAATGTGTAATTTAACCATCTAATACTGTGTATTTATCAATCAAACTCATTTAAAATGAACAAATCAAACACTCAGTGAGTAATTTAACCATCTAATACTGTGTATTTATCAATCAAACTCATTTAAAATGAACAAATCAAACACTCAGTGAGTAATTTAACCATCTAATACTGTGTATTTATCAATCAAACTCATTTAAAATGAACAAATCAAACACTCAATGTGTAATTTAACCATCTAATACTGTGTATTTGTCTATCAAACTCATTTAAAATGAACAAATCAAACACTCAGTGAGTAATTTAACCATCTAATATTGTGTATTTGTCAATCAAACTCATTTAAAATGAACAAATCAAACACTCAGTGTGTAATTTAACCATCTAATACTGTGTATTTATCAATCAAACTCATTTAAAATGAACAAATCAAACACTCAGTGAGTAATTTAACCATCTAATACTGTGTATTTGTCTATCAAACTCATTTAAAATGAACAAATCAAACACTCAGTGAGTAATTTAACCATCTAATACTGTGTATTTGTCAATCAAACTTATTTAAAATGAACAAATCAAACACTCAGTGTGTAATTTAACCATCTAATACTGTGTATTTGTCTATCAAACTCATTTAAAATGAAAAAATCAAACACTCAGTGTGTAATTTAACCTTCTAATACTGTGTATTTGTCAATCAAACTCATTTAAAATGAACAAATCAAACACTCAATGTGTAATTTAACCATCTAATACTGTGTATTTGTCTATCAAACTCATTTAAAATGAACAAATCAAACACTCAGTGAGTAATTTAACCATCTAATACTGTGTATTTGTCAATCAAACTCATTTAAAATGAACAAATCAAACACTCAGTGTGTAATTTAACCATCTAATACTGTGTATTTATCAATCAAACTCATTTAAAATGAACAAATCAAACACTCAGTGAGTAATTTAACCATCTAATACTGTGTATTTATCAATCAAACTCATTTAAAATGAACAAATCAAACACTCAGTGTGTAATTTAACCATCTAATACTGTGTATTTATCAATCAAACTCATTTAAAATGAACAAATCAAACACTCAGTGTGTAATTTAACCATCTAATACTGTGTATTTGTCAATCAAACTCATTTAAAATGAACAAATCAAACACTCAGTGAGTAATTTAACCATCTAATACTGTGTATTTGTCAATCAAACTTATTTAAAATGAACAAATCAAACACTCAGTGAGTAATTTAACCATCTAATATTGTGTATTTGTCAATCAAACTCATTTAAAATGAACAAATCAAACACTCAGTGAGTAATTTAACCATCTAATACTGTGTATTTGTCAATCAAACTCATTTAAAATGAACAAATCAAACACTCAGTGAGTAATTTAACCATCTAATACTGTGTATTTGTCAATCAAACTCATTTAAAATGAACAAATCAAACACTCAGTGTGTAATTTAACCATCTAATACTGTGTATTTATCAATCAAACTCATTTAAAATGAACAAATCAAACACTCAGTGAGTAATTTAACCATCTAATACTGTGTATTTATCAATCAAACTCATTTAAAATGAACAAATCAAACACTCAGTGTGTAATTTAACCATCTAATACTGTGTATTTATCAATCAAACTCATTTAAAATGAACAAATCAAACACTCAGTGTGTAATTTAACCATCTAATACTGTGTATTTGTCAATCAAACTCATTTAAAATGAACAAATCAAACACTCAGTGAGTAATTTAACCATCTAATACTGTGTATTTGTCAATCAAACTTATTTAAAATGAACAAATCAAACACTCAGTGAGTAATTTAACCATCTAATATTGTGTATTTGTCAATCAAACTCATTTAAAATGAACAAATCAAACACTCAGTGTGTAATTTAACCATCTAATACTGTGTATTTATCAATCAAACTCATTTAAAATGAACAAATCAAACACTCAGTGAGTAATTTAACCATCTAATACTGTGTATTTATCAATCAAACTCATTTAAAATGAACAAATCAAACACTCAGTGAGTAATTTAACCATCTAATATTGTGTATTTGTCAATCAAACTCATTTAAAATGAACAAATCAAACACTCAGTGAGTAATTTAACCATCTAATATTGTGTATTTGTCAATCAAACTCATTTAAAATGAACAAATCAAACACTCAGTGTGTAATTTAACCATCTAATACTGTGTATTTGTCAATCAAACTCATTTAAAATGAACAAATCAAACACTCAGTGTGTAATTTAACCATCTAATATTGTGTATTTGTCTATCAAACTCATTGAAATTCACATAGTTTTGCATTTGAAGCAGTCTGATCTCTCTCCGTGTGTCTGGTTCCTCAGCCAACCTGTCGCGGTCCGCGTTCCTGTGTCCTCAGTTCTTCGAGGATCTGGACGAGGTGAGCTCGAGCTCGTCTCTGTCTCAGGTTCCGGAGCCCGAGGACTCGCTGGCGCTGGCCGAGGACGGGGACGAGCCGGTTCTGATGCCCAGCGTCCCGAGACACCCGACCGTGGTCCGAACGCCCTCCATACAGCCGGGCTTCAGTGCCAGTCCCTTCAGCAGAGTCCCGATCATCAGCCCCGGTGCGGCCCGTCCCATCTCAACACACACTCATGAACCGTACACATCTCACATCATCAGTTTATGCGCTAGAGTTTAGAAAATGGTGATGAATGTGAGCAGAACTCAGTGGATATTTGACCTTCTGTTGGACTCTCACACATGAATTATGTTGAATATCTGTTAAATTGAACTCCACAATTAGATAATACCAGTTTAGCTCAACCAGTGACCAGTTTGGTTTGACTGAGTCTCTTGAATGTTTCGCAGCCCCGAAGATAAACTTGGACAGTGCCGATAGCACGGCGCTAGCCACAAAAACAGTGAAGCACGGAGCCCCGCCCACAGAGAAGGCCACGCCCACCTCAGTCCCCGCCCCTCAGGCTGCTGGAAGAGCCGCCCTCAGTAGACACATGACCAGCCAGAAACCCGGTACAAACACAACAATAAAATCACCAAATAAACAAAATATTTAGAGCTGATCTTTAGTATTATCAGGCTGGGGTGTAACATCTCCAAGACATGATAAAGGGTTAGCAAAAAATGTAGTTGATTTTAAAATGCTAGATTTGGTGTTACATGGGTGTGTGTGTGTGAATGAATGGTCTTGGTGCTGAAACCCAATAGAGACGCCAGAATAACAATATTCATGATTCTGAAGCTGAAAATACAGAATTATTTTAGAAGAATATGTTTAATATCTGTCACTGAGTAGATATATGTAGAATAATGTTGGACACTTTTACTGTAAACATCTGGTATTATCAGGACACACACGTATTCCCCCACTGCATTATTATACATTATATTATAGTTTAATGTAGTACTGACACTAAAACTCTGAAACTTTTTTTCTCACACAGTAATTTTTGTATTGAGATATATTGTGACACGATATACTATAAAATCCCTATTATCAGGTTTTTATAATAATGCACACTAGGGGGCGACACACACCATCGACTCTGAACGGCAAAAACATTAGTTTTCTCTCAATTTATTGTTATAATACACACTACACCTCAGAAGATTTTATGTTTTCAGAATTTGAGGATGCGTTAAATTGATCAAAAGTGACTACAGACGTTTATAATGTTACAAATATTAAATATTTTGGATGTTTAGAACTTTCTATTCATCAAAGAATCATGGAAATATATATATACGAAGCAGCATAATAACTATAAATGTGTCTTGAGCATCAGATCCTCATATTAGAGTGATTTCTGAAGGGTCATGTGACACTGAAGACTGGAGTAATGATGCTGAAAATCACAGGAATAAATTACACTTATTATATATTCACATAAAAAACAGTTGATTTATATTACAACAATATTTCCTTGTTTTTAACATATTTTTAATCAAAAAAGGCAGCCTTGGTGAGCAGAACTCTTTCAATAAGCATTAAAAACTTAATTATCCCAAACTCGATGTGTTACGACCAGTTATAGAGTATTTATTAAAACACCAGTGAGTTCAGTTTGAGCTGTCGTTATCTTTAATCGGGACACTAGATTGACACGGCGTGACACAAGCGTTATATAATTGATTATTTGCATTATATATTAAGTTATTGTGGTCTGTTCCTGTGCTCATGCTGATGGCTGTCGTTAACATGCAGTTGATTTGAAATGTGATTTAATTTAATATCATCAGCACAGTGACATTTTAGTGTTTGTCTGTGTGAGGTAATCAGAGCTGCTAACACACACAAGCAACACACACAAGCTCTTGTAGCTCCGCCCCCTGTGCCGGCAGCTCATTTGCATTTAAAGGGACACACACACACAAAACGACACGTTTTTGCTCGCCCTCAAAAAGGGACAATTTTAACATGTTATAAAAATATCTGTGGGTATTTAGAGCTAAACCTTCACACACACACACACACACACTCTGGGGACATCAGAGACTCTTTAATATCATCATCATCATATCACGAGCACATCTGCTCTGTGTCTGTCTGTCGTTTGTAGGAGCGTGTCTGACCGAGTCCACGCTGAAGACGGTTCCTCAGGTGGTGAACGTTCAGGAGCTGAAGGATAAAGGTCCACACACACCCGTGTCCACCGTCATCAGGTGAGAGAGGGGCATTATGGGGCAGTTTTACGGAACAGAAAAGATTGAAAATGCATTACGGCTGCATGATAGCCGGCAAACCCGTCAAAATAAAAGTTTGATGCCTCAGCATTGAAGAATGAAGAAAGTCAGAAATATTAGTATTGTAATTTTAGTTTTATTATATGAAGTAAAAATATTTTTTTAATTCTACACAGGACTCAAAAGAGTAAAATATATATTTTACAGCTTTTTTTAGCTATTTTTATTTTGCACCTGGAATGTTTAAAGTCCCCCGTAGTCGATCATTATATCTGTTAAAACTCATCTCTGATCACCAAAATCACACATTTAAACGTTTTTTACGCCTTAAAATATCTTGAATGTAACTTGACACTCTCGCCTCATTTAGTATGCGTGGGTTTTTTGATGCACCCTAATATATATATACACGTGTGTGTGTGCAGAAAAAGATATTATTTTTTTCCAGGATCATGAAACCCTTGAATGTTGTTGTGTCGTCGTTCACTCGCTCACGGCAGAAATACACACTCATTACAAATCAACACATGTGATGTTCATTCGCTTCGCTGCGCTGTGTGTGTGTGTGTGTGTGTGTGTTCTATGAATCCACTCGCACTGTGAAATCCTCTAAAATGAGGTCAGGGTCAGTCTGTGTGTGTGTGTGTGTGTGTGTGTGTGTGTACGGTGTCCTGTTTTAACCTCATTTTCCCCCAGGCGTGTGTTCAGACCGCGATCAAACTCTCGCATCTGATGAACAACAGTCACGTGTGTGTCGACCTCTCGACGTGTGACATTAGCTTAGTTGAGGTTATGAATCTGTGTGTGTGCGTCTGAATCAGAGGCTGCTGGGATGATTGACAGGTGCTGATCTGTGCAGTGATGATCCTTCAACTATAATCATTTAATCACTTTCAGTCTGATAGAGACATGGACACACAGATGGATATAACACAGATCGCGTTATGAGTTATTGTTATAATAATCATTATCGTTAACAGAACTGTTGACCAGTAGTTATTATGGTTATTATTACAGGTGTGATAGTGGTTATAGTTATTATATCTCCTGCTGCAGTTCTGATGTGAAAGAGTGTGTAGTGTGTGGAGGTTTCGTTTGCGTATTGAGACACTGCAGGATGTGAGAGTTTGTGGTGATGATTATTTGACATCACTTCCTGCCTGTGTGTGTGTGTGTGTGTTACACGTGATACACCTCATCTGTGTGTGAATGCTCAAGACAGTGTGTACCACGCACCTTTAACCCAGACACATGCATTATTAACGCTCGAGCTGCTCGCCCTGAGACACACACACACACGCAGGCAGTCACACTCACACCACCTTGCGTGCACACACACACTCGTTTGTAACTGAGTGTGTGTGTGAGACTGAGCGTCTTCCTGTCTGTATTGATCTTTCATACTGATGCTGAAAGAGTGTGTGTGTGTGTGTGTGTGTTTGGTTTGTTCGCTGTGCCAGGGTCAGGTGACCCGTGTAATGATGTCACTGTGTTTATCAGAGCATATCTCTCCTCTTCCTCTGCTCCAGTTACCGCTCTTCATCTTCTTCATCATCCTCACATGACCATCGTGTGTGTGTGTGTGTGTGTGTGAGCAGTGGCAGAGATTTCCCTCAGGACACACTCCGCATGATCTTCCTCAGTCTCAGACGTGAATGCAGAACATCACAGCGCTTTTATTACGGCTGCTTCTATGATGTATCCCAGCATGCCGTACACAGAGACATTCATCTGGAAATATGACCTTTTCAAACACACACACACACACTGTTCACTAAGGGTCTATTTTGACCTAGAGTCAATTGAAATACTTAAACTTTTTTCTGGATTATTTTTTTTTTTATCATTAAATTCCATTTTAGTAATTAAAAGTCTTATGTAACTAATTGAAATTATAAAATGTTATAATTACCAATAGTTTATTAAAAAGTTGAACAATTTACATTTTAGGGGCATATAAAAATCGGTTTTATTTTTTTATTGATCTATTTTTTTATTTTTTTTCTGGGTTTCATTTTAATAGTTTAATTACGTTTTAATAATCAAAGCATAATTCATTTTTTCAAAAAATGAATTAAATTCATACTCCTACCAATACTAAGAATAAAATTATTCAATTGCAAGTTATAATTTGAACAGTAAACCTGTTATTTACCAATATATAAAATAAATTGAGCTGTACAGTAATTTTGGCGAGTTGAACTGAAGAGGTGTGTGTGTGTGTGTGTGTGTGTGTGTGTGTGTGTGTGTGTGTGTGTGTGTGTGTGTGTTCAAATGAAATGCTGCTAAAGTGACTCAGATGAGCCCTGTACATGAAGTTCATGTCATCATGTGCTCATGTAGTGAAACTTCAGGTTTTAATAGCCTTTAATATTCACGATCACGAGTCCATCTTGCCATTTAATTAAGTGTGCATCCCTACTTTTGATTTATTCATCCAAAAAGGGTCAAATTTATTGTCAGTTATGCTTAAAATCCTGTTTTTTTGACTGAATTCTGCAATGATTTTGTCCCTCAGATGATAGATGTTCTCCTAAGTGTGTTAATGATCATTGTTCGTGTGTGTGTGTGTGTGTGTGTGTGTGTAGTGCTTCTGTTCCAGCACCGGCGGCTCAGGTGGTTCAGCAGGTCCTGGCTACGGTGGAGGCCAATAAAGTGAGTCTGGCATGAGATGCTCTAGTTACACCTCAAGGACTCTGCTTTTAAAAATGGCCGTCGTCTAACGTGTGGCGTTTGGTGTGTCCGTTTCTTCGCAGAGTTCCTTTCAAGCCGCGTTAAATGTCCAGTCGCCGGCCCAGGTCACGTCCTCCAGCTTTGTGTTCGGTAGGTGTGTTCTTTTGAGCAATTTAACATCCATCCTTCCCTCGGGTCGCTTCGACACGCAAAATTGTCTCTTGAACCACGAATACACAACTAAAAACAAAGATGGATTCGAGGAGTTTTGTGGTTGAGATTTCAAAAGTAACTCATCCTTCCCTCTCGGGTCGATCTGACCCCGTCAGGAGGAATGCTTCAGTACACACACACAACTAAAACTGCTAAAACTGTATTATGTGTACATGTGTGTGTGAATGCAGACTGGAGTGAACTGGCTTTAGGACCCAGCGGAACAGCTCCTGCTCCATATAGAGATATTATCCCATCTAGAGTTAGGAAATATCATGTTATTATTATTTATTTTCCACAAGAGATCAAAGACTCCCAATGTGAGCCGGATTTAAAGTGGTTATGCATGAAATTGTGAGTTATTTTGAATTTAATTTGAAATAATGTGAGGTGTGTGTGCTTCTAAATGACTATATTTATTATTATTTAGGGCTGTGCAAAAATTAATTGCGATTAATCGCATCCAAAATAAAAGTCTGTGTTTTACATAATATATTTGTGTGTGCTGTATATAATTATTTTGTAGATATAAATACACACACATGCACGTATATACTTACAGGGTTTCCGCGGGGCATTAAAAAGCATTAAAAGTCATTAAATGGATTTTGCGAAAATTAAGGCCTTAAAAGGCATTAAAAAGCATTAAATTTGATTCTTACAGGCATTAAATTTTTTTTATAGTTTTGAAGAGAATTTTATACAAATTTATTTGAATATAGCCTTCATAATTAATAATTTGTATTTTAGGCTTCCGGTTCGGTACGCATACAAACCGAACGATTGCTTGGACCATTTTTCCTGCCAGCAAAATTCGTGCTGACGCGGCCAACACAACGTTGCGCAACATCAAATGGCAAGCGTAATGAAAGCAGAACGAAACTGCGCTACTCGTTATGTGCTTCATGGATCGTTTATCAGTTCGGACCAGCAACATCTATGCAGCGCGAGCCGATCTCGATCAAGCAACACTGTTACTTCACAGCGCTAAGAGATCCGGTAAAGAAAACATTTGAATTCGCCACTGAGGTAATAACATCGCTGCGAGATCTAGTGAGAAGCGTTCACATTTCTCCGTTATTAACCGCAGATCTCTATTAGATCAAACAGCGCTGTCATGGTAACCAGGAGAAACATTGTGCCGTGAATGAACTAGTACTTTACGTCCACAGACCAGCAACATTCACCATGGATTTAATATAGTAACACTAACTGGAACCAGTTTGGCTAGAATGGTGAAATGCTTTCAAGTACTTCACACATCTTTTTCCAGCACTTCAAAATTCAAATATTATATAAATAAATATATATTTAAATGTTATTTTTAACGTGATGACCAAAACATTATTTGTTCATCCTTCAAAGATGACCCCCATTTATAAACCTGAAAGTTTCAAGATCTAGGAAAACTCACACTTATTTAAAAATATTTTTTCTTTAAACAAATAGGAAATTTCTCTGGCATTTCTTTCTTTTTGCTGTATCGAAAATGTACCGAACCGTGACTTTACAACCGAGGTACGTACCGAACCGAGATTTTTGTGTACCGTTACACCCCTAATATATATATATATATATATATATATATATATATATATATATATATATATATATATATCCGTGGTTAGTCATGGGTCGTGTATGGCATTATTTTTTTTTTAAATGGCATTAAAAAGGCATTAAAAAGGCATTAAATTTCATTTGAAGATACCTGCAGAAACCCTGACTTAAGAAAATGTGTTTATTTATATAATATAGATAATGTATTTATTTATATATATATACAGAATTTAAGTGCAAATAATTCTTTAATATATACATGCATGCATAGGTATTTATATATACAAAATAATTATATACAGCACACCCAAATATATTATGTAATCACAGACTTTTATTTTGGATGTGATTAATCGCGATTAATTTTTGCACAGCCCTATTATTATTGATCAAATCGCTTTAAAAATAGAAAGAAATATGATCAAAATGAAATAAATAAGGTTTGTGGACAGAAAAAAAATTAAGTATAATTTTAGGGCTTAAAGATTTGTTACAGGCCACAAGGGAAGGATGAGGGTTTAACGCATCCTTGCTGAATAAAAGTATGTTTAATATTGTGTGTGTGTGTGTGTGACAGGCGGAGCAGCAAAACCCGATGCAGGGGCGTCTTCATCCGTCAGTGAGAAGAGCTCGAAGGCCTTCTCGTTTTCTGGAGCGTGAGTTATTAAACATAACTACCTCAACCTCTATACTAACATTAAAAATCTTACAGATCGAAAACATCACATCAAAACTCTTCTGATGTCATGTCCAATGTCTTCATATTTGGTTGTATATAAATAAAAGACTCATATTTTGCTGTCTCACAGGTCATCAGGGTTCAGTTTCGCATCTCCATCCCCCGACACCAACAGCACTCAAGGTATCGTCTCCATTTGTGTCTCGTCTCATTTACAGATGCAAACAGTTGATTTTTACGCATTTTAGATTTCCTTTTTATCACTGTAATTGTCAGAAAATGTAAATTTTCACTATCATTCCGATGGCCAGGAGTCAGTGCTGCAGAAATGGGCTCTAGATGACTTGAAGGAGTAGTTCACTTTTGCTGATAATTTACTCACCCCCGTGTCATCCAAGATGTCCATGTCTTTCTTTCTTCAGTCGAAAAGAAATGAAGGTTTTTTATGAAAACATTCCAGGATTTTCTCCATATAATGGACTTCAATGGGGACCAAACGGTTCAAGGTCCAAATGAGAGTTTCAGTGCAAACTGTTCAAAGGGCTTTAAACGACACCAGACGATGAATAAGGGGCTTATCAAGCGAAACGATCGCTCATTTAAAAAATAAATAACAAAGTTCAAGTTTTATAAGCAGAAATGCTCGCCTTGCTCTGTTCTGTGATGAGCGTTCGTGACTCTCCTGTTCGAACTCGTTCATCAAAATCTTTTTTCGAGTCATGACTCAAAGGGTCCTAGAAAAGACCCTTATTCATCGTCTGGTGTCGTTTAAAGCCCTTTGAAGCTGCACTGAAATTGTCTTTTGGACCTTGAACGGTTTGGTTCCCATTGAAGTCCATTATATGGAGAAAATCCTGGAATGTTTTCATCAAAAACCTTAATTTCTTTTCGACTGAAGAAAGAAAGACATGGACATCTTGGATGACACGGGGGCGAGTAAATGATCAGCAAAAGTTTTTTTTTAAAAGTGAAGTCTCCCTGTAGTCACTCATTTAATCCCTATTTAATTAACTTGCACATGGTTAAGCGTATTAATAACACTAACAACATTAATCACCACAGGGGGACTTTAAAATAGACGAAATAATCATTGAAAACAGCTATAAATCAAATTGGACTTTCACAGCCTTCTTAGTAAATTTCTTTCTTTTCTTCTAATCCTGCAAACAGCGAAGAGTTCTGGCCCGCCTGGCAAGTTCTCCTTCGCTAGCGGTGCCGGATCAAAGATGCCGTTTGGCCCCGGTGGATCCGAGGAGCCTTTCTCCTTCACCCCGAAACTGGCTTCTCCCGCGCCGAGCGCGAGCTCCTCGACCCCGCCTCCAGAGACTCCTAAACCCCCTCCCGCTCCCAAAGCCCAAGGAGAAACTCTCGGCTGCTTCTCCGGCTTGCGCGTCGGCCAAAGCGAGGAGCTCAAGGATGCCTCCAAACCCGCGCTCGGTTTCACCTTTGGATCAGCCGGCAACGGATCCGCAGGGTTCACGTTCGGTTCCCCGCAAATCAAGCCCGCAGAAACTGGAAGTGCAACAGCCGAAGTAGAAAGCGCCACAACAGAAGCTGCGAAAACGATTGCGCCACAAGCTCTCGCCACGCCCACACCCGCCGCTAAACCGCAAGAAGCAGCGGCTCCCGCAATAAAACCAACTTTTACGATTCCCTCGACGACTTTCTCAGCGGACGCCACATCTTTCGGCAGTCTTCTCCGCGCACCTCTACAAGAGACAACTCTTCCGACAAACTCCCTCCCGACGACGGCGGCTACACCCGAGGTGGCTAAAGAAGAAGCTAAAGAACCGCCCAGTCCTAAACCGCTAGCTTTAAGCGCGCCAGTCGCATCGGTCACTGAAGCCGCGGCTCCCATCATTACAGAAACCATTACAGCAACTTCCAGCAAACCTCCGACTCCTCCAGCTCTGGACGTCCCGCCCGCACCGCCTCCATCGGTTACTCCACCATCCGACACGCCGACGGTTGTATCCGAGCCTCCTTTAGCGGAACCGGTCGCTAATCCCGCTGTTGAGACGATTAGCAGCTCTTCCCATGAGCCTCCAGCAACTTCAGCGTCTGACAAACCAGGCTCAATCTTTGCCCCGCCGTCGGACGCGCAAACCGTCGGTTTCTCCCCAGTCGTCACTACTTCGGCTTCATCCGCGCCATCCACAGCCGTCACCACCAGCGCAGCTCCTACTTTCGGACAATCACCCGCCGCTCCGAGTCCGAGCGCAGCGTTCGGATCCACCGCGTTTGGCGCCACCTCGACCCCTGGCTTTGGCAAGCTTGCGTTCGGACAGAGTCCTGCTGGTTTCGGCCAGCCCGCCGCCTCCGGCTCTGCTAGCAGCTTCAGTTTTAGTGGGACGGCGTTTAGCGCTAGCCCTGGGTTTGGCACGCCGGCTACGACCTCCACCACCTCGACGGCCACCGGCGGAGGAGCAGGGATGTTTGGAGCCGCTAGCGCTAACAGTGCTAGCTCCTTCTCCTTCGCAGGCGGCACCGGAACTGGACTCTTTTCCCAGAGCAGCGCTCCTGGTTTCGGGCAGCCCAGCGCAGGCTTCGGCCAGGGGTCCGTGTTCGGGAGCAACACCACCACCGCGTCCTCTGGGTTCGGTTTTGGGCAACCATCAGGTGGGTTTCAACAAACGCACTCGAGACTGGACAATCACAGAGTAGTTTATACCCGCAAGACGATGTAGGGATAGGGATTGGATACTTGTTATAAAATTAAACGTTCGATTCCTGAGTGTAGAGACTGTGTGTATCAGTGTGTCGGACCCGTGCCGCTCTTAAAGTGACAGCACTAATTTAACTTTATTTATAATTAGAGGGAGACCGATATAATCGGCCGATATTAGGCATTTTCCAAACTATCGGTATCGGCAGTTATAATGGCCGATAAATGAATATTTCAAAAAGAAAATGAAAACGGACAAAACGCGCTTGAACCATGTCATGAGTGTTGTGTAGTTTGTCCACCAGAGGGCGCTCTACACCGTTCCCGTTGGCAACACTCGCTGAGTTGGTCACGATACATACATTGCTTGAATAACAATTAAAAGAACATCCGCATCAGTTCTCTAAACTCAAATAAGCAGGACAAAATTTGTGGCCGGCGGAAGTTTATATCGAAAATGTATGTTTTACAATTTGCAGTATGACGTAAATTAGGGTTCATCATAGACTAGCTAACCATAAAGCTAGCTAACGCCACTATCATCAGTCTGTTCTGTTGTGACAATAAAAGAAACTTTTAGAAAGTTTCTCTTTAAAATACATTATCATATTATTTTGGTTAACTCATAAATAACTAATGTTAGGGAAATCTATTAATGTTTTGTTGTGCCTTTCTGAAATAAAAAAAAATATCGGCCGATATATTGGATTTTAAAACCAAAAAATCCTTTATCAGTCGGGCTCTATTTATAATGTGATTTTAATTATAAAGTGCAGTGTTATTTCACATTTGATTACAGTTTCTATGCCTTAAAATACATGGCTGTTTATTTCAATCGTATCTTTGTTCAGTCGTGTCTATTTGTTGCGATTTGCTAATTTGCTCTTTTTTAATAACTGAGTGTTTATTGTCTTTAATAATGCTTGAAATGTATATTAGTTCGGCTAGCTGTCTTTCTTAAACTCGAGTAAGAGTTATTTAGCATGTTGATGATATTCAGCTACAATTAAATGTTTGGAAATGAGACTAAATGTGAATGATTTCCACGTTAGTTTTACCTTATTGAAATCGAAATTAGGAATCGATAAAATTCAAACGATACCCAACTTTAATTCATTTGGATTTTGAGATTGGATTGGCTGACTGGACATTGGCTTTAACGCTCGCTCGCTCGGTCAGTCTGAGTGAGTTAGGCTGGAAACAATGGCAAGCGTCAATAATTCACATAATATGCAGTCTAAGGTAAACCGTACCGTCACATTTGCATAATTTCAATCAGCACATTCTTTAGGGTTTAATGTGGGCGTAAACACGCAGAACATAAACCGGTGTGCACTGGGGGTCAGAGGTCAGTGACTCAGCTGTTTATAAGGTGGACGTCACAGGAATCCTGAGGAAGACACACCCGAGACTGATGCACATTCCCACACACACTAGCTCACGACACACTGCTACACTGAATTAGCGCATTAGCGGTCAACAATCTAACGTATCGCCAGCGCTAGCATTGCTTTCTGGTTTATAAAGTACAATGTGAGGAAACGCAAACATTTTGCCTGTGGTTTAAAAACACTTTAAAAAAACAACTAGCCGAACTAATATACGTTTCAAGCATTATTAAAGACAATAAACACTTATAAACTGAACAAAGATACAATTGAAATAAACAGTGTTTTAAGATTTTCTTGTGTTCGGAAACTGTAATCAAATGTAAAATAACACTGCACTTTATAATTAAATACACATTATAAAAGTTATCCAGTGTAGAGCGAGTGTGTGTTCAGTCTTCTGGTGTGTGATTATAGAGACGGCAGGAATATTAGTGCTGTCACTTTAAGAGCGGCACGGGTCCGACACACACACACAGTCTCTCGCGCTCATATTGAAACGCTCACAGAAATTTTAATTTTATGACTAGTATCCGATCCCTGACCTCAGGAATTCGATTCCCAACCATGATTAAAGATCATTGCGACTCGCTCCACAAATGCACATCTTCTTGTTGCGTGCACTAATTATGATGCACTAATACAAAAGAAACAGATCTAATTGTACATCTCAAAGAAACGCATTTGGTTGTGGATAGCCAGATACATCGGCAGCGTTCATCGAGTTCAGTGATGATTGTGCACACATTTGCCTAAGATTTGATTTATTATTTGATTTATTATTATTTAGCATTTGAGATAAACACACACACACACAGTTGGTGTCTCTGTCTGTATGTTTGATTTGTTGGTGTGTGTATCCAGGGTTCGGCAGCAGCACCTCCAGCTCGGCGGTGTTCGTACAGCAGCCCAGCGTCTTCGGACAGGTACAGCTCACACACACACACACACACACACACACAGGCTGACTGTAATGAGTTATGAACGTGTGTTCGAGTCTCACACGCAGTTTCACAGAGGCTTCTGAAACCTGATGAGCTGTCAGTTCGAGGAACCCAATGAGATGCTTCCGTTTTTGGATTACCGATCTAAAACTTTTGACCGGTAGTGTGTGTGTATATATATATATATATATATATATATATATATATAACACAATATATAGGGTGAAAATACACCTTAGATTTCTTGTCATATCTGTCTGTACAGTGGATCTCAAAGCTCTTTCCCGTGTTAGATGTGTTTAGTGTGTTTTCCACAGCATTCACACTGAAAACCAATGCTGTCACTCACAGTGTGTGTGTGTGTGTGTGTGTGTGTCAGTAGCAAGGTTTTTGTCTCTGTTCTGTCACTGATTGAGTTTTGGTTCCGTCACTGTTGCCTTTGGCTTTTCACTTGCTTAGTTTAACCCTCAGGTGCTCTTCGTTTCGGAGTCACACTTGTTATCTTCCCGGACACCTAAAAATGAAACTTCTTCCATCCCAGTAAAACCAATGCAATTTATTTTTGTTCTATAATATTTATTCTTTTCAATTTAGTATTTTGAGACAATTTAATTTAATTTATTAATATTTATGCAATATTTATGGTTTATTTTTGCCATGGAAATATATATATATTTTTCTATATATATATATATATATATATATATATATATATATATTATTATTTTTTTCAAAAAAATATTAATGCAGTATTTTAGTTTAATATAGAGTCTAGGCCTTCAGAAAAAAAAAATATTTTTTTGAAGAAAATTAGCACTATCTGGTTACAGTATTGAGAAAAGGTGTAGAATCATGGTGTGACCACTAGATGGCATGTACAGCTCTCTATGGAGAAGCATGTGAATTCCCCAGCTGTTTATGAACACATTATTTTTTGTTGTTGTTGGTGGTGGTGGATTCGTATATATAGTTGAAACAATCTCAAAAACTATTTCTTATAAAAAAAAATGACAAATATTCACAATTTTTTTTTCCCATTCATTTCCTATGGGGGTCATTTTTGACCAGATACCACAAGTGTGACTATTTTTTTTAAGACCACTTAGCATGCTCGGATCATGACCTTAATTTCAATTTTTTTTGTGTGTTCACATACATAATGCCATAAAAGTCACCAAGTTTCGTAACATTCAGATGAAGCTGTGATTTTTAAAAATTCAAAACAGAAAATTTTTCGATCAGAAATGACCGAAGAGCACCTGAGGGTTAAGTTAATTTAATATTCAAAAATATAATTGATCTCCTGCATCGACAGCATTATATGAGAACTGAACTGAGCTGACGATGACATCACGGTTTCTCCAGAGCCGCTATATAGACCATTTTGCAAGATGTAAACAACACTGGTCCAGAAACACTTCCTGTTTCTTTATTTCACATGTAAAGAAAACATCTTAAAGATTTTTTAAATGTTCTGTTGGTTGTATTTTATCCCAGCTTTTATGTAGTGTTAAACTGAAACAGGAAGTGCTTCTGGACCAGTGTTGTTTACATCTATAGATAAATGAACTTAACTTTATTACAACAGAAATGAAGCATCACTGAACTGACTTGAGCTGGACTGACGCTATTCTCTTCTGGACTCAAAGCTGCTCTGAAACACACACACACACACACACACAACAAAGCTGACTTGACTTGCACACACTCTATAATAATTCCTGTGTGTGTGTGTGTGAGAAGTATCTGAAGTGTTTGTGTGCTCAGGCTCAGGCTCAGTCCGGCGCTGGTCTGTTCGGCTCGAGCGCGGGGAACACGTCCTCGGGGTCAGGGTTCTTCAGTGGTCTCGGAGGGAAACCCAGCGAAGACGCCGCCAACAAGAACCCGTTCGGAGCGCCGGCCGCGGGAGGATTCGGCCAGCAGATTAACACAGGTATCGACACACACTTCCCAGGGTTATTACACTCATTCGGCACTTCAGAGCGACCGGGAGCGCGGGAAGCATCAGCTTGACGGGGGTGTGTGTGTGTGTGAGAGACTGCTGCTGAAGATGTGGTGTGTGTGTGTGTCTCAGGTCCGGCTAACCTGTTTGGGAGCAGCGGAGCGAAGGCCTTCAGCTTCTCCAACAGCTCGTTCGGGGAACAGAAGCCCAGCGGGTCCTTCAGCGCCGGAGCCGGGTCTGTGTCGACTCAGGGCTTCGGCTCCTTCAGCACTCCCACCAAACCAGGTCAGACACGCACACACACCATAAAAAAAACAATAAAAAAAAAAACATGACAGCACATGACGTTATTTTATTTTTTTCATTTTTATTATTTTTATTAATATTATCTTTTATTGTCAGTTCTTTATTTTTATTATTATATTATTTTTATAATTATTATATTTCTTTATTTTTATATATATATAAATAAAAAATATTTTATTATTATTATGTAATATTATTATATTCTTTATTTTATTATTATATTTAAATATTATTATATTTTTATTATAATATAAATTATTATATTATATATTATATTAATTTTATTTGAGTTTTTTTTAGCTTTTATTATTAATATAATTATTATATTTCTATTATAGTTATATAATTTTATTTATTTTTATTATTGGCTCTGTTTTTTGATAATGAAGGTCAGTTAGTCACACTTGACTTCTAAAATCAGCTTGACTTATTTATAATGTTTGTTGTCTACCCTCTCTCTGTTGGAAAGTTCGTGCGCAAGTCAGATCCGTGCAGATTTACTCGTGAGTCATCGTGATTATATTAAATATTGCTCAGAATCTGCTCATATCTGCTAACTTAAACACACACGTCACTACGCTACACATGACCGCACAAGCAATAGTGAAGATTAAAAAGCATTCGGTGAACAGAAAATGCATTATTTTCCCACATAAAACACATTTTGGGTGAAAAGGATGAGGATTTTAGTTTAGTTTGAATAAGAAATGCATGTATGAAATCCAAATGTGATAATATGGTAACACGTTACAACAAGGTTCATTAGTTAACATTAATGTATTAACTAACATCAACTAACAATTAGTGTTGTTTTTGGCGGCCTTAGTCTAGTGTTTGTGTCGAGCTGTTATTTCAGTTTTTATTAGTTTTAGTCACGTTCATGCTCTTTTTAGTCTAGTCTAGTTTTGGTCGACGAAAACTGATGACGTTTTAGTCCATTAATATTGTGTTTTAGTCTCTTTTTAGTAATGCAGTTTTATTTAACCCAGTCAATATAGTATAAGGGCCTAGTAGTAAAGACAAAACCAACATTTTCTTTTAGCCAAACCCATTTCAAACATAAATATTATCTTATTATAGTTATCTTATTATATTATTGTTATCTTATAAACTCAAGAATACATCCATGCACACACACACACACACACACACAACACGCACTACACACGGAGTGTGTGTGAAACAGTTGTAACTCGCGCAGCCGCATCTTCTAATAATGCCGCGGAAGGAAGTGATGTCGTGCGATCTGATGCAGCCCCTGAAGTGACACAGGAAACAGAAATGCTGCATAATAATAATAATAACGCACGTAAACGAGACGAAATAACGTTAAATAACATGTCGTCATGTCTCGTTTTGGTCAACGAAACTGAAGACGTTTTAGCATTTTGTTAACCACATTTAGTCTCATAAGTTTTTATTATTAATATATTATTATACTATTATTTATTTATTTTAATTTAATTATATTTTTATTTATTTTTTTATACTTGTATTATCGTTAACGTTCTTACTATATTTTTATTATATTTATATTTTATTTATTATTATATTACTAACAGGACAGTACAGTCTACAAACCTGTATCTGTGGCTGGACAAAGATAACATCATATCATGGTCTAAGGGTCCATCAGGGCAAGATGGGATGCCTGGGAAAGCGTTAGCGAGGGGCCTAGCATTGCATTCATACGGTTTTACATTTACATTTATGCATTTGGCAGATGCATTTCAAGGTACACATTTACATTCTGATCAGTTCTCGCTTTCCCTGGGAATCGAACCCATGACCTCCAACACTCCACTGTTAGAGCTCCACGAACGCTTTTTCTTCTGTTGCCATTTTTGTGTAGTATGTCCATTTGCAATCAAAATTATTCAAGTTTTATTGGCAAAATTAATAGACTACGCTTTCTGCAATAATCAAATCAAACAAAAGTGATTGAAATAGCTCAACACGACAAGTGGTTCCCTAAATTCAACTCGTGAGCGTAGAATTATAAGGTTCTATCTCCGTTTAGGGCAGTTCTGAGATATTGAGCATCAAAGTTTTTACATCCCAGCTGGCTATGTAGTATAATCTTCTATTATAGCTTCATCTATTCATCTTTTTTTTTTTTTACAAAAACAACACCACACAGGCATTAATAAACACCTGATGGATCAGATTATGACAAACTCAATTTCGACCAAAAGTGGAGATAGAACCTTATAATTCTAAGCTCACGAACTGAAAATGCAGCTTTTAATGAGCAATGGCCTCTAGTTCAGGAATATTCTCGTCCTCCTTCAAATCCCACCAGAGGTGCTCTATGGGGTTCGAGTCCGGAGACTGTGATGCCACTGGATCTCCCAGCACCACTTCTGCAAACAAGCCTTGGGGGCATCTGAGGTGTGCTTGCGATCATTGTCCTGTTGAAGGTCTAGTGACTTGATCTTCCTCACGTTTTCTCTGAGGATTTCCTGATAGGCAATGATGGCAACAGGTTTGAGCTTGAACAGTAAGCTACTACACCACTACTGACCCAAAAGCACAAGAAGATCATATAAGATTCAGTTCTGTGGAGCAATGACACAAAACTGGAACTTTTCGGCCCTTTAAGTGCGAAATTCTCCAATGCGTTTCTCCGTATTGGTGATTCGGTGGCTCTGAATTGTCAGTCGCCGTTCAAAAGGCTTGCTACGTAAGCGGAAAATGCAGAAAATTGAATAGAATTTTTTTTCGCCTTTTTTTTCATGTGTTCTAGCTCAAGCACACCTGGTGCCGCTCATGAAGCCCTTGATTAGCAGATCTGTGCTGCTGTGAGGGATTATATTCAGGGCGTTGACTAATTTTGAAGTCATTAAAAGCTGCATTTTCAGTTGAATTTGCGGCAACCACTTGTTGTGTTGAGCTATTTCAATTACTTATGTTTGATTTGTTCATTGCAAACAGCTGAAAGTCTGTAAATCTTGCCAATAAACCTGATTTGCAGTGAGGGTTGAATAATTTTGATTAAAACTATATATTTATGCGTGTATTGTGCAGTATGTGAATATTATACGTGCTTCTGGTACTGTCTTTCGGGGACAATAAAGAATGAATCTGAATCTAAGCACTACTTTCTTTGAGGTCGGGCAAACGAGTGAAGCACAGGGGCACCACAGGGTATCACAACAGACCCACCGAGGGAGACTGTGGTGGTGCCGAGTCGGGAAATATCTAGACCTAGCAAATAAATTATATATATATATACACACACACTACCGGTCAAAAGTTTTAGATCGGTAAGATTTTTTATGTTTTTAAAAGAAGTCTCTTCTGTTCACCAAGGCTGCTTTATTTGATGAAAAATTCAAAAAAAACAGTAATATTGTTTAATATTATTACAATTTAAAACAGCGGTTTTCTATGTGAATATAGTAAAGTGTAATTTATTCCTGTGATCAAAGCTGAATTTACAGCATCATTACTCCAGTCTTCATTGTCACATGATCCTACAGAAATTATCAAGAAACATTTATGATTATTGTCCATGTTGAAAACAGTTTTTTACATTTTTATTTCAGGATTCTTTGATGAATAGAAAGTTCAAAAGAACAGAATTGATCTGAATTGATCTGCTTTTGTAACATTAATCACTACCATTCAAAAGTTTGGGGTCAGTAAGAATTTTGTTTTTATTTTTGGGGGACAGAAATTAGAAATTACTTTTATTCATCAAGGATGAGTTAAATTGATCAAAAGTTACAGTAAAGACATTTATAATGTTAGAAAAAATTCTATTTTAAATAAATGCTGTTCTTTTGAACTTTCTATTCATCATAGAATTTTGGGGGGAAATGGTACACGACTGTTTTCAACATTGAAAATAATAAGTTAGGTTTTTTGAGCATAAAATCAGCATATTAGAATGATTTCTAAAGGATCATGTGACACTGAAAACTGATGTGTAATCAGCGACAGTAATGATGTTGGAATTCAGCTTTCAAATTACATTTTAAAATATATTAAAATAGAAAACAGTCATTTTAATAATTGAAGAGTTCAGATGCAAAAGCCTCTAAATGCCATTTGAAATTTTCTTCTAGAATGATCATTTTTATCAAGCTTGTATATTTAAGTTCAGTGATTTCACTTAAATGGCAATGATAATTACCTATTAATTGTTATTTAAGTGAAATTACTAAACTTAAATATACAAGATTGATAAAAATCATCATTAAAGAAGAAAATTTCAAATGGCATTTAGAGGCTTTTGCATCTGAACTCTTCAATTGTCATAATAATTCACAATATTACTGTTTGTCATTTTTTTTTCATCAAATAAAGCAGCCTTGGTGAGCAGAAGAGACTTCATTTAAAAACATAACAAAATCTTACTGATCTAAAACTTTTGACCGGCAGTGTATATTTTTATATTATTATAGTTTATTATATTTATTTTATTTTTATGTTGTTATTTTTTTAGGTTTTATGATTGTCATTTATTGTAATCATTTTACTATGTTTATATTTATATTTTATTTTTTTATTATGATTAGTATTTTTTCATTTTTATTACTATGCATTTTATTATATTTTATTGTTGTTTATTATTTTTATTAAATCTATTATATGCTATTATTATAGCTTTTATTGTTATTATTGTAATTTTTTAGGATTATTAGTGCATATTTTTTATTATTATCTTTTATTGATGATTATTATTTTTATCAAATTATTATTATTATTATTAATATTAGATGTATTTTATGTGGTTATTTTTTATTATTACTATAATTATATTTCTTTAGTCCTCCACCGTCAGCTTGACTCGTTTACATTAAGGTCTGCGATGCGCAGTGTAATTCAATGACGCGCCTCGCTGAATTATTCACACACACACACACACACACGCGTTCGACTGGCTGTAATTTCAGAACGCTCTCAGTGAGACACATCTGTGCTTCAGCAGCAACTACCTGAGCGATCGTGTGTGTGTGTGTGTGTGTGTGTGTGTGTGTACTACACTTCTGAAGAAACCTATGCTGATATGTAAGGGATAATGTACATCCAGCTGATTATTCTGAGATCTCACACACACACACACACACCTGAAGGGGTTTATTCTGAAATCTCACACACACACACATGCACCTCTTTAAACTGAGAGCTGATCAAACTAGACGGACATGGAAGAGATACGGTCTACAGTCATAACACCAAATGATTCTGGAGATCTTGAGATATTGATTTGAGATTAAACCGTTTTATAGCCGTACATGTTTGTGTCATAATCCGACAGTGAACAGAACAGTAGACACAGAACGGCCGCCGCTGCTGTGTGTGTGTGTGTGTGTGTGAAGCGAGTCCACGACACTGGAGGGCTTAATTAAATAACCGTACGCTAAATATTGATTCGGCTTTTAATATTTGATCAGCTCATCAAACGCAGAGCCCGTTCCTGGCGAGTGTGTGCCGCTGATGATGTCAGTGACCGGATGAGTGTGTGTTTCTGCTGTTATCAGGGAATAATACACCGCTGGATGAGCGATCGACCAATCAGAGTCAAGCATTCTACAAAGCCGTGTAATAAATATATGTGTGTGTGTGTGTGTGTGCAGCTGGTTTCGGGAGCGCGCCGGTGTTCGGCAGTCCTCCTACGTTCGGTGGATCTCCGGCGTTTGGGGCGTCGGCAGGCTTTGGCTCCGCCCCCTCCTTCAGCGCACCAATGGGATCCTCGGGAGGGAAGGTGTTCGGAGAGGGAACCACCGCCGCTAATGTCGGGGGATTCGGGTGAGGAGCTTTACCGTCTCTAACGCTGTGCTGAAATCTCCACACACACTCACACACACCCTTACACACACACTCACTCAATCACTCGCGCACACACACACACTCACTCTCAAACAGCGGGTTAACCTCAGGCTGACACTGACTGTACGGGGAAATTAAATGTTGGATTATTGTGATTTTCATCCGGCAGAGGGTCGTGTGTGTGTGTGTGTGTGTGTGTGTGTGTCGGAGGATGTAGGTTATGCAGAGATTATCTGTGTGTGAGATTAGAGATCAGCACACGTCTGTGTTTCTCAGCGTTAAACACAGTTATGAGTGTGTGTGATTACAGACGGGCCGATGCGGACTCGACACACACTGATCCTTCACACCGGATCGACTCCATCATCCGCAATATATCCCATGTGTGATTTTAAAAGTGCATATTTAATGGCCCATGCGCGTTTGAATGAGCATATACATTTCAAAATAAAAGTCCCAATGTATTTTGGGCCTGTTTATAATTAAAAGTCCTGCCTTATGCATAAAATATATTTTCTGGTTGTTGGTAATTTGGTGTCACGTGTGGCTTCGGCACGTCGGAGAGCTGTTAATTCAAAATGTTAAGATTTTACTTGAATCAGGCAAAATAATATTTTATATATTTTAATTGTATTTCTTTAAACATGCTATTAATCAGAAAACATCCAATATCAATCAACCATTAATGTGTTTGTATTTATATATTAGTACACACATTTCAGTGCCTATGTGTATAATGAATAAAACATTTGAGTATCAATTTGACTATAATAATTAAGTCATTTATTAATATTATTACTAAAAAAAGTAAATTACAAAATATTGCTATTGTAATATTTCACTGGTAAATAAGAGTATGCAACATTTTTTAAGTACTAGAAAATTAGAATACTAATGTTTTATTATTATAATAAATGTGATAATCTTGAGTAAATGAAAAAAAAATTGGGATGTGAACTAATGCTTGAACCTGAACCTTTCCAACATTTACATGTATATATATATATATATACAGTGTATATATAAAGAAAGTTTCTCTACATAACAGACATTACCAAAGTAAAGGATGTTATATTAAAAGTGGAGGAAAAAATCATTTTGAAGCATCGTGACGCGAGTGATGATGAGAGACGAGGCGTTGAGGGACGTGTAATCTAGAGGAATAATTCATGAGATATTGATCATCAAGCAGAATCAAACTAAACACACACACAGCGTTTGAAGAACACTACAACAGCCCCGTGTGATGGAAAGTAAACACTAATGATCAGGGTGGAAATAAAGATACAAGACATTGAAAACGTGCAATTTCTTACTACAGTGAAGAGAGTAAAGCTCGAACCAATAAAAGCGACTCATAAATGAACAGGTTTTTCTGCTTGAATGTTGATTATTCTCCTCATATTCTCCATTGTTGCGGCTCCTCTCTTCCCAGTCTGTCAGTAACGCTCTGTTTACTTCCTGTCGCCTTCTGAAAAGCACACTGTGCTCTGATTGGTCGGCTGGAGCAGTGTGTTGTGATTGGTCGAGTGTGTTTGGGCAATGCCCCGCCCCTTTCCATAACTGCCAGTTTAACACACTACTAACTAACTCAACCAGGCCCCGCCCCTTTATTCTGCGCATGAATTATGATAATGAGGAATATTCGAGACTAATGGAGGCGTTTCAGAAACACTGACTCTGATATAGAGAGGAACTGGAGCTTCTCATGATCACACATCAACATTACCGAAAGATGAACACGTAGTAAAGCAGTCGAGTGACAGATGGGGTCAGGGGTGCTGTGTATTTCTGTGTTATGATCTAATCCTGGTGTGTGTGTGTGTGTGTTGGCACCTGTGCCGCATAACTCGCCCAAATAAACACTGCCATCTGTTCATCATGTTCCGCCTCTGACACAATGCCTGTTCTCCTCATTCCAGGTTCGCGTCTCCTCCTAATGCGCCGTCGTTCGGCAGTCTAGCCAATCCCAGCGCAGCGACTCCGTCGTTCGGGAGCCCGGCGGGATTCGGCGCTCAGACCGGCGCGTTCCCCGGCTTCGGCTCGTCTGGAGGTGAGATCCCGACACATTTAATTTAATATCCAGCAGTATTGTTGATCTCCTGCATCGACAGCATTATATGAGGGCTGACGATGACATCACGCTTTACTCCACAACTAAATTAATAACTCTTTTACAACAGAAATGAAGCATCGCTGAACTGACGCTATTCTCTTCTGGACTCAAACTGTTGCATTATTGTCCTGTTGTCTCTGTAAAGCTGTATAAATAAAGGAGTTCAGGCTCACTGCTTGTGTTGTCCTTCCCTCGATAGCCTGATTTAGAGATCGGTGTGAACGTCAGACATTCGTTTCTAACAGCTTTCATTCAGAATACACTGAATTTGTGTTTCTCTTCGTGTGGAAAAGTGTTTGGATTTTTTTTTTCTCACAAAAACTGCTTAGTTTGGTTTGGTTCGGATCGACCTGAATGAATTTTCAGTCAAATGTTCATCTAATTTAAAGTCCCCCTGTAGTCACTCATTAAATCGATTAAAACTCATCTCTGATCACAAAAATCATATTTAAATTAGGGCTGTCAAATGATTAATCGTGATTAATCACATCCAAAATAAAAGTTTGTGTTTACATAATATGTGGGTGCACTGTGTATAATTATTTTATCTATATAAATACACACACACACATGCTTGTATATATTTAAGAAATATTTTCATGTATATACCTTAAAACCCATCTCTGATCTATAGATGTGTTTATAATTTATATTATATATAAATATTTTATATAAAAATAATATATTTTTTTAAATATACATGCGTGTGTGTATTTTTTTTATATATATATATAAAATAATTATACACAGTGCGCACATATTATGTAAACACAAACTTTTATTTTGGTTGCGATTAATCGTTTGATAAAACCAAAAATATCTTGAATGTAACTCGACACCGTCGCCTCATTTAGTATGCGTGGTTCTATGAATATGCAAATGAGCCCCGCCTCCACTCACTCACTCTCCGGTTGACGATCACACGTTGATCTGATTGGTTACAAGGTGGTTCGTGACGTCAGAAAGTGTGTTTTTGAGACTGTCTTTGGTTCACTGCAGTTTTAAGGAGGAAATACTCAGCAATGCTGTCCACTTATCAACACACACATGATTAAACACACCACATACACACATAAACAACATTAAACGCTAGATTTACACCACAGGGGGACTTTAATAAACAAATAATCAACACATCATTACCTGAACACCTTGTTTTCTGCGCCATGTACTATTTGAAGCTGGTCCTCGTTCTCAGAAAGCTGATGTCTGTGTCGTTTATCACGAGTGTTGCTCATGTTTCCCAGTTACAGTGGTAAACACACTCCGTAATCAGGTAAACGGACACACAGTGTGACAGGAGAGCCGGTTCAGTGGCGCACACACAGACTGTATAACGTGTGTTGTGTGTGTGTGACGTCACCCGTAGTGTTTCTGAACTCAAAGTGGGCGGAGCCAGCCGTCGCCATCTTGGCTGCGCATCACTCGCGGATAAACGAACGTGCAGTGAGGCGGATTAGCTGAGGCTAGCAGACAAGTGACATCAGCAGCAATCCACCTGTCACTCACCCTTAATTATGCAGAACTTTAAGGCTTAATGTAATTTAAACGAATGAGTTATAAAATAATTCCCCCTCACAGTCGTCATGAAGAGCAACATTAGCGATATAGACCAAAACCACCTTTAACACCAGACTGTAAACATGTTTATTTCTGCTTGGCCATTTTAACATGCGGGTCTATGGGAGTGAGTGTCGTCTGCAGCGCCTCTAGTGGCCAGAGGAGGAACTGCAGGATAACTCTCTCAGTGCTGGTTATAGAGAGAGAGACGGTTAACGCTTGGTCACACTCCATTACGTGATGAAGTCTAACTCTGTGTGTGTGTGTGTGTGTGTTGCTTGTGCTCGTAGGTTTTGGAGGCTTTGGGAACGCGAACACCAACCAGTAAGTGGCACGTCATGTGGTTGATTGACAGATGATCATCTCGGTGGTCACGTGACCATCCGTGTCATGTTCACGTCTCTGATGTCTTCCAGACCGTCGGCTCAGACCTTCAACAGTTGGAGGAGTTGATCCGCGGACTCTGACTTCCACCGACACGCTGATGTCATTTTATAGTGTGTGTGTGTGTGTGTGTGTGTGTGTGTGTGTGTGTGTGTGTGAGTGAATACGCCGTGAGGTTTGGTCATCTTCACGTGTGTGTGTGTGTTCTGCTTTAAACTGCACTGTGAGAAATAAACTCGAGCGCTGTGTACCGTACGCGTCTGTCTGTGCTTTACTGTTTTGACGTGTAGGTTTATGCATTTGAATTGATTATAAAATTATCATAATTATAGGTTACTCCATTTTAACAAACTGCACATTTGTAAATCAGATTTCTGCACTCAAAAGCAACTATGCTAATTTAATTATTTGCTTATTTTTGGTTTTATTTAAAGATGCACTATGAAACGTGTGCGTCCCTCTAGTGGTTAAACGCGGAACTGCATGTGTTTTGCAGAAGAACATTGCTGTGGATGTTTTGTGCGGATCAATATGATTATCCACACCAGACAGACACACACACACACACAACTTAGCCCTGACATGCACACACACACACACTCAGCTAACTCCTGCCACTTACACACCAGACAGACACACACACACACACACACTCAACCACACCTAGACCCAAATATTTGTGTGTTCTCTCCTGACATCTGACGTGTGTGTGTGTGTGTGTGTGTGTGTGTGTGTGTGTGTGTGTGGAATGTCACAGTGGCTCCAGCTCTTATCAGCCGCTCTACTGAAGAGGGGAACTCGGATTCCTCTAGAAGAGATTCTGTGAACTGTGGAGTCTCTGCGTCTCTGACCTCAGCTGACCCCTGACATGACCCCGCAGAGGAAGATGAAGATGATGAAGCACAGTCAATAATCCTGCTCTTATTATCCGGGAGGGATTAGCAGAGATGAACATGAGATCAGACATAATGTTATTAATATCAGTTCAGTTCTCTGCGTGTTTCTCTCCTCCATCTCGCTACGATTATTAAAGAGAATAGTGAACTCCACACAATAACGACAGAGGAACTATCTCGATTGAAAACAAAAAACAATAATGACAACCAATCAAAATCCGTCCTGCGTTAAAGAGTGTGAACATGAAAAGAAAATATCAGACTAAAGTAACGCAAGTAAGTGAACCAAACACATGTTTAAGTGTATGAGCTCTTAAAGTGACAGCAGCATACTGTGTTTAATGCTAATCAAACAAAATAATCCCTCTGCTCTTGACTGAATAACTTTAATAAGGATTCATCTATATTTAATTTATACACTGAAGACTATGTAGAGCTATTTTACATTTGATTATTTCTGAAAATTACTGTAAGACTTAAAAACATGAAAAGCAGTTCGACTAATAGTTTTTTGTGTCACAACCTTATAAAGGAAATGGGTCAAAAACAGGGAAGATAATAAGCTTATTTTAATTTAATTTGAACCCCTCAGTACAGTAGGCTACAGCAGTGTGATATTTTTTGTTATTAATTGTTGTCTTTGCTGGAATTTATAATCATGTCTTCATGTAAAGGTTTTGTTTGGATCCCACGTGAACGCGCTCCATTATTAGCATCACTGATGTCGGTGTTAAGGTGTATTATAAATGCTACGTGGGATCTCAATAGGCTTGTTTGAGATGAGCAAAATCTGCGCAGAACCGATCACCGGTGATCAGCGCGAGATGCATGCCGGTTAGAAATGTGTCCGAGAACGGTCCGCCTCGCTCTGATGTCATGTCGACGTATGTCAAAAAACTCTCGCGAGCGCAAGGCGCACCTGTCGGATTCTGCAGTCGCGCGCAGTTGGTCTCCACCGACTGCGCTGATCAAAAGCATGATGGGAAACGACTTGCGAATTGTTTCGATATCTCTCCAGAGCTGAGATATTGAAACTCAAAAATTCGACCCGAAAAAAAAACGACAGTGGTACAGAGCTGAGATATTGAGATATTTATAATGCTTAAATGCCTGTCGTTTTTTTTTTTCGGGTCGAATTTTTGAGTTTTGATATCTCAGCTCTGGAAGGGTCTAGATCCTCCATTTTTGTACTCAGGTCTAAGTCTCGTGGCCCTCTGTCAGAATTCAGAGTTTTGAGAAGATTGGAGAAACTTAATTTTTCGCCCCCCAAAAAAAAACCGAAAACACTCTCGATCTTCTTGATCTTCTTGAAACTCTGGATTCTGATAGAGGGCCATGAGACTTAGACCTGAGTACAAAAATGGAGGCTCTAGACCCTTCCAGAGCTGAGATATGGAGATCCCACTTAGCATTTATTACATCCATCCATCACAACATGTCTTCATATTAGGGACTGAGGTGAGTGTTGGCAGTCAGGTGCTGGAGGAGTGGAGGAACGGCTGTGAAGAGGACACAATCAGCGCCAACATGCACTCATCCACATAAACACTGCTGGGCTTATTACACACAGCACTGATCTGGCACTGCACTACTGTGTACTAGACCAGACAGCAGGTGCACACACACACACACACACACCGCAGTCAGTGTGTGAATCTCATCAAAACCAGATCCTGGTCACACTTCACCCCAAAATATAAAGCAGGAAATATAAAGACTTAGACCTGAGTGCCAAAATGGAGGCTCTAGACCCTTCCAGAGCTGAGATACTGAGATATTTATAATGGCATTAATGCTACGTAGGATCTCAATATCTCAGCTCTGGAAGGGTCTAGAGCAGTGTTTCCCAACCCTGTTCCTGGCGGCACACCAACACTGCGTGTTTTCTTTGTCTCGCTTATCAAACACACCTGACTCAACCCATCAGCTCATAATCAGGTGGGTTAATGAGCTGATGGGTTGAATCGGGTGTGTTTGATTAGGGAGACAAAGAAAACACGCAGTGTTGGTGTGCCGCCAGGAACAGAGTTGGGAAACACTGGTCTAGAGCCTCCATTTTTGCACTCAGGTCAAAGTCTCATGGCCCTCTATCAGAATCCAGAGTTTCGAGAAGATTGGAGAAACTTAATTTTTCGCCCGAAAAAAAAAAACCGAAAGGGGTAACACTGTCGTTTTTTTCGGACCGAATTTTTGAATTTTGATATCTCAGCTCAGGAAGGGTCTAGAGCCTCCATTTTTGCACTCAGGTCAAAGTCTCGTGGCCCTCTATCATAATCCAGAGTTTTGAGAAGATTGGAGAAACTTAATTTTTCGCCCGAAATCAGAAAAAAACGAAAGGGGTAACACTGTCGTTTTTTTTTTTCGGGTCGAAATTTTGAATGTTGATATCTCAGCTCAGGAAGGGTCTAGAGCCTCCATTTTTGCACTCAGGTCAAAGTCTCGTGGCCCTCTATCAGAATCCAGAGTTTTGAGAAGATTGGAGAAACTTAATTTTTCGCCCGAAAACAGAAAAAAACGAAAGGGGTAACACTGTCGTTTTTTTTCGGGTCGAAATTTTGAATTTTGATATCTCAGCTCAGGAAGGGTCTAGAGCCTCCATTTTTGCACTCAGGTCAAAGTCTCATGGCCCTCTATCATAATCCAGAGTTTTGAGAAGATTGGAGAAACTTAATTTTTTGCCCGAAAACAGAAAAAAACGAAAGGGGTAACACTGTCGTTTTTTTTCGGGTCGAAATTTTGAATTTTGATATCTCAGCTCAGGAAGGGTCTAGAGCCTCCATTTTTGCACTCAGGTCAAAGTCTCGTGGCCCTCTATCAGAATCCAGAGTTTTGAGAAGATTGGAGAAACTTAATTTTTCGCCCGAAAACAGAAAAAAACGAAAGGGGTAACACTGTCGTTTTTTTTTCTGGTCGAAATTTTGAATGTTGATATCTCAGCTCTGGAAGGGTCTAGAGCCTCCATTTTTGCACTCAGGTCAAAGTCTCGTGGCCCTCTATCAGAATCCAGAGTTTTGAGAAGATTGGAGAAACTTAATTTTTTGACCAAAAACAGAAAAAAACGAAAGGGGTAACACTGTCGTTTTTTTTTTCGGGTCGAAATTTTGATATCTCAGCTCTGGAAGGGTCTAGAGCCTCCATTTTTGCACTCAGGTCAAAGTCTCATGGCCCTCTATCAGAATCCAGAGTTTTGAGAAGATTGGAGAAACTTAATTTTTTGACCAAAAACAGAAAAAAACGAAAGGGGTAACACTGTCGTTTTTTTTTTCGGGTCGAAATTTTGAATTTTGATATCTCAGCTCAGGAAGGGTCTAGAGCCTCCATTTTTGCACTCAGGTCAAAGTCTCGTGGCCCTCTATCATAATCCAGAGTTTTGAGAAGATTGGAGAAACTTAATTTTTCGCCCGAAAACAGAAAAAAACGAAAGGGGTAACACTGTCGTTTTTTTTTTCGGGTCGAAATTTTGAATGTTGAAATCTCAGCTCTGGAAGGGTCTAGAGCCTCCATTTTTGCACTCAGGTCAAAGTCTCATGGCCCTCTATCACAATCCAGAGTTTTGAGAAGATTGGAGAAACTTAATTTTTTGACCAAAAACAGAAAAAAATGAAAGGGGTAACACTGTCGTTTTTTTTTTCGGGTCGAAATTTTGAATTTTGATATCTCAGCTCAGGAAGGGTCTAGAGCCTCCATTTTTGCACTCAGGTCAAAGTCTCGTGGCCCTCTATCATAATCCAGAGTTTTGAGAAGATTGGAGAAACTTAATTTTTCGCCCGAAAACAGAAAAAAACGAAAGGGGTAACACTGTCGTTTTTTTTTCGGGTCGAAATTTTGAATGTTGATATCTCAGCTCTGGAAGGGTCTAGAGCCTCCATTTTTGCACTCAGGTCAAAGTCTCGTGGCCCTCTGTCAGAATCCAGAGTTTTGAGAAGATTGGAGAAACTTAATTTTTCGCCCGAAAACAGAAAAAAAACGAAAGGGGTAACACTGTCGTTTTTTTTTCGGGTCGAAATTTTGAATGTTGATATCTCAGCTCTGGAAGGGTCTAGAGCCTCCATTTTTGCACTCAGGTCAAAGTCTCATGGCCCTCTATCATAATCCAGAGTTTTGAGAAGATTGGAGAAACTTAATTTTTTGCCCGAAAACAGAAAAAAACGAAAGGGGTAACACTGTCGTTTTTTTTTCGGGTCGAAATTTTGAATTTTGATATCTCAGCTCTGGAAGGGTCTAGAGCCTCCATTTTTGCACTCAGGTCAAAGTCTCGTGGCCCTCTATCATAATCCAGAGTTTTGAGAAGATTGGAGAAACTTAATTTTTCGCCCGAAAACAGAAAAAAAACGAAAGGGGTAACACTGTCGTTTTTTT